ATTGATGGTCAACCATGTTATCTGACATGGAGAAAATCCCCCTTGCCATGTAAACAAAACAGGAATCTTCATTTTTAGACAAAAAATGAAGAGTGACTTAACATTGTGATCAAAACAGTCATCCTTATTCTCTTTGATCCATGGATCACAACCTCTGGAATTCCTGCAAAATGTGGTCTCACCTGTCCAGAGCCCCTGCTAGTTCCTGGAGCTCAGCTGCATGACCCTCAGCTCTGTAGACAAGGTCAAGCGCTCTTCGTTTGGACATCTGCATGACCAGGTCATCCACGTGGTGCCTGATTTTGGCAGTCCACCAAAGCAGCTCATCCCGGTGATGCTCTAATTGCTACATAGATAAATCAATACTGTGAATATATAGGCAGCTATTCAGCAATGTGTGTGTGCATATTTTTGATTTGGAAACTACTAGTATATTGTGGCTGTGCTGAGTAGAAACTTACTGCTAGCGCACTTTGTGCAGCCTTTGCACGTGCTGTGGCAGCATCCAGCAATCTTCTTCCTTTGGCGATTAGCACTGAGGTCAAGTTTTGTTCTTCTCGAACACGCAGCTTTTTATCCTGTAGCAAAAATCACCTTTAAGGATGCTTCATTAAGCAAGTCAGCTTCCGAACACTGGGGCCTGACACTATGTGTTGAGGTAGTGTTAGGGGGCTCATCTTTTAAAAAGCTGAAATTCGTATTATTTACATGGGAGAATTTGGTTACTAGCTTTAACTGAGGAGAGAGCTGTTAAGACTCACATTGAATTCTCGCAGGCTGGCCTTGATAATGAGCAGGAGGCGGCTGCTTTCCTGCGTCTTTGCCTCCGCTTCCCTCACCAGGTCTTCTGCTGCCTGCAGTTCACTGTTGTGTTTTGAAAGGAGGCTGCTTGCTGCTTCTTTTATTACCTTCAACTCTTCCTGTGGCTTCTGGTAATTTTTCTGAATTTGTGACAATAAATCTTCAGCAGCCCTGACAAATATAGATGGTTCACATAGTAAGTCAATGAATGACAAAGCCTCTATCATTGAAATGATAGCAGAGGGATTTTTACACTTCCGTGCCTAGTTTTATAGTGTGCAGTAAGGGTAACAGTGGGCAGAAGGCTGTCCTTCAAAGGGCCTGCTTGCAAGGTCTGTAAAATGTTCCCATTGTTCTCTACCTGATGCCAGTGGCTCACGGCTTCCACTGTCTGTGCAAACAATGTGGTTTATGCTGAACACCTGCTTTCCCTCTGGAACTGTGGAATTTGGGCACATGCTGGGCAGAGGGTGCCCACAGGACTGCCCCCCAGTAAAAACCACGAATGCTGAACTCTAGTGGGCTTCCCTGGGCAGAAATGTCACCATGTGCTGCTGCACTTTCATAGCCAAGGGAAGAGTACGCACTGTGCTCCCTCAAGGAAAGGAAGCCTGAATGGACACCTCAAGGTGCCCCCGTGTCTTTTTCCCCAACCCACCTGTGCCTCCTTAATACGTTGCCATAGGTATATGGGCCATGAGCACAACTCTACGCTGAGTCCTGATATTCCCGGTGAAACTGAATGTGACGGTGCTTTAGGGGACCCTGACACAGGCATGATAAGCAACTGATTTGTGTGCTAAATATTCCCAACAATAGGATTGCCATAGTTCAGCACAAATTACCAATTTTCTAAGGATTATCATTAGAAAAAGCTGATAAATTCCTAAAATAATCCACAAAATTTGAAATAGCATAAGAACAAGGATTATCCATAGAAAATAAGAAAGTGGAGATCAGAGAACACATTTTAAACTTTAATATTTTAAAATAAAAAGGTCTTTTTAATAATAATTTAAATTAGCAAATTAAAAAGAAAGATAACAGCGATCTCAAGAATAACTTTGTTCTAAATAACACACACAAGACCAACAATGACACAGAAAGGGTGGCCACAGGGCCTAACAGGCGAGGAGAGTCGGGGGCACTGAGGGCGTCAGGGGGGAGAGGGGCCCTGCCTTCTCCCCTTCCTCTCAAAGCTCTTCAGCAAATGGACTTTTCGTAATTAGACTACGAAATCCTAGTGGGGAAAAAAGATCTCTATTGTTCTCCTTTGTGTCCCCAAGTCCTAGCACAATATCTGCCACTGGGGGCTCATTTTGCTGAATGAACAAGTGAGCTGACTGTGGAAGGGTAATAGTGGGAGAGGATGGCCCCACAAAATGACTCCCATGGATCTCCAGGGAATCTCCATTTCTAATAAGTGTCCATCAACTCTTAAGTGTGGCCGAGGGAGGGAGCAACTGAGAGCCCAGGATGAGTGGGAAACGGATGGGTGGGGGGACTTTGGTTAGTGGAAAGGGGGTGGGGCTGGAATCAAATATATGACATTTCTAGTTCATCTGGGAGGCAGCGGGGAGCTAAGGAAGGGTAGGAAGCAGAGAATAGCACAGCTGAGCCTGGGGTAGCCACCTTAAGAATGGATGGGTCCTGGGAAGAGGAACATGGAGGTGTCAGCCTCTTTCCTGCCGGTGCTTCTTCCTGCCATGCATGTCAGGTGAGGGAAGATGTGGGTGAAAGGTCGGGGTCAAGGCAACATGATTAACCTAGTGTAAATGTAGCAGCATGGTCGCATGGTCTCTGACTTAACGGCCCAATTCCACCCATTGTCTTTAGGGGACTGGGTCTCAGATGTACTTCCTTCTGTTTGGGGTTGGAAAACAACAGGGTTCACAGTCACTCAGACGTAGGTTTGTGGTCAGGGTCCAGACTATCCTGGAGGTTGAACAGTGGGCAAGTTACTTGCAGTCTCTGAGTCTCAGTCTCCCCAGCTGGATGCTCCCCTTCCCCATGAGGCGGCTGAGAGGATCACAGGACAGAACATGAGACAAGAGGCTCGCACCCTCCTGCGAGGAGGAGGGGCTCCACAGAAGGCAGACCCCTTCCCCACCTCCTGGCCCTGGCCTCCTCCAATCTCCCCGCGAGGCATTTAGTTCCCAGGTCTCTCTAGTTCTCCAAATCCCACCCGATGCTTAAAATCATATTCAATAATGAATAAAGGTGTAAGCTTAATTCTCCAGGGTGTTGCCAGTAGAAGTGTACATTGTTTTAAGTACTCTTTTAGGAAATAATTTGGAAATGCAACTCAGGAATCATCAACATGCAAATTCATTGGCTAAATGATTTCACTTCTTAATATCCACCCTAGTAATATAATAATGTGAAATATAGAAAAATATTTTTGTCTACGATATCCATCACAACATTATTTAAAATAGAAAACTAGATTAAAAATAGTTTAAATGTAACAGTATAGAGAATGGAGTTTTGTGTAACTATTTAAGCCAGTGTTTACGATATTTATCACAACCCTGGAAAAAAGATAGCTTGTGCTATATTACATCAAGTAATAACTGTGTGAAAATACTAAGAAAAATGCCTGAAAGGAAATTACAAGTTCCTAGTGACCATGTCTAACAATCCTTTGTGATCTGTCATTTCACACTGAGGTTTTCAATTAGAGTTTGCATAGCTAAGCTGAATTATTTTGGCATAACATCCATCTATCTTAGAGTTTACAGCACAGGTAGTAGCCGCTGACTAATTTTCTTCCATGATAACTGATTGCATTATACTTGATCTTCAACAAATACAGTACCATGTTGCTGAAGAGACAGAGAGAAACAAAACCCAAGGCATACCAGCACAAACACAGAGCTATTGGCAGTGATTACAATTTTCTCTATTTGGAGGGCGTGGCGGGGTCTCTTCATTTACATAACAATAGGGCCCCTCTTTTCTCTGGTGACATTTCTTCCACAGTGAGAGCTTTCCTTCTTTTACCTCCTCCCACATGCCTTTCCCCCCTCCATACTGAGGTTCTTTCCTCTAATTGGCTATGTCGTGAATGGCAGCACTTAGAGACTTACTTCAGTTCAAGGGTAGCATTTTGGTGCAACTGCATAAAATGCCTTTTCTGTAAGGTTTCTAGAAAAAACGTCATGTTCTTTTGCATATTCTGAAGAGTGGAACTGGGTAGCTGGAAATCTTCATCCAAGGTCTGATTTAGAGTTGTTGCCTTTTCAATAATTTCTATGGAGAAAATTTATCAATCATTTAATAAGTCTCTTAAAAGTGGACAGCACTAAACTGGAAGAACTTAGGCATTTCTTCAGTGAGGCCGCTCTGTTCAGCTGAACTGGTTGAACCTCAAATCTAGGCCAGGCCGGCTGTACATCCCAACACACTCTGGACATCCCCTATCAAAACACTCATGGGGGCCCTGGCTGGGTAGCTCAGTTGGTTAGAGCACTGTCCCGATACATTAAGGTTGCGGTTCGATCCCCAGTCAGGGCACATAAAAGAAGCTACCAGTGAATGCATAAATAAGTGGAACAGCCGAAACCGGTTTGGCTCAGTGGATAGAGCGTCGGCCTGCGGACTGAAAGGTCCCAGGTTCGATTCCGGTCAAGGGCATGTACCTGGGTTGCGGGCACATCCCCAGTAGGAGATGTGCAGGAGGCAGCTGATCGATGTTTCTCTCTCATCGATGTTTCTAACTCTCTATCTCTCTCCCTTCCTCTCTGTAAAAAATCAATAAAATATATTAAAAAAAATAAGTGGAACAATAAATCGATGTTTCTCTCTCTCTCCCTTCCTCTCTCTCTCAAATGTCAATAAGATAAAAATTGAAAAACACACACATACACACTCATGGACTTGGGATTACTGTTTATTTAATGTTAGTTTTCCCTAGTGCCCTTACTCTCTGTAAGGCAGGGGGCTATGGCCACTGTTACCTCAGCATTTCCTGCACTGGACACAGACATTTGCACATAAAAGCTGTTCAACAAGTATTCACTGCATGAATGAATCACCAATACTTGATACTACCCTTCTTATTAAGCATATTATTTATTCTAATAATCTTCTGATCTTTTGCCCTATAAAGTCTGATCTGCACTGGATTCTGTACTTACTCCTTACCGGTATGTCCTTACACAATAATCCAAAAAGAAAAGCAAGAATATATTTCTTGTGGCTAGAAAACTGAAAAAAGCAACCTAAAAGCCAGATCAGACGGGACATCCCAATCGAGCAGTGAGTAAATTACTCAAATATTGTGGCTGCACTCTGGGACCACACTGAAGCTCCACATCACACCGGCTCCTATTGTGGGCAAAGGAATGGTGTCGAGAGTTAGCTCAGCGACTCACATGGTATTGCTGCCTTGACATCCATTTTCTGTGGCCAAGAGGCCTGCAGTGACCTTAAACTGACACTTGCCCCCTCATACAAGCATGTGCCCTAGACAGTAGCCACAGGGTCAGAAGCTAATGTAAGTTCCTATGGTGACAGCCCCTGTGATCAACAGTCTCCCCTGCCTCCCAGAGCCTTCCCCTGTGTGCCCCAAGGATAACACCCCTGTGGAGCTCACCAAAAGTCTGCTTTTTTGGTTTGGGCCTTAGCTCAGGAACCCCAAAGCACTGCACCCACAGAACCAGATAAAACAGGTGCCAGGTTCTGTCTCTCTGTCTGCATCCCTGCCTTGCCTTCCCATGTGGCCCCTTGAGGCATGCTGGGTACTTTCTCCAGGACCTGTGAGTAAAAACTCCTCTATTCCATTTTCTCCTACGGTCTATTGTTGGACCTTGCTTGGCTCATAGTCTGGCACCCTGTGCACCACTTAGCAAGTCTTAATTTGGGAAATTCATAACAGATGGGAAGGCACCACATCTACTTGATACTTAGGATGTAAGTGTAGCACATCACATAGAAAATAAAAAAGGAAGCATGCATTTTTTTAAAAGATAAAACTCTCAATGAAAGACCATGATCTGGACACATCAGGATCCCCAGTCCTTGGCTCTAGCAGTTGAGCGCAAGTAACACACATCTATTCATATGTTGTATAGAGTGAATGGGACTTTTCCTTGCAATGAGCATAGACTCCCCAGGCTAGACACTGACCACACTACCTTGAATGCTTATCTTCAATTTCTCAGTAAATGTCATGAGATCTTGACTCTCGTTGAGGAGTCTTTCAGTCGCCCTGGCCACATGTTGGCTACTTGCTAACACTCTACTGAGCTGATAGAAAATAAAGGTCTCAGGTTAGTCTGACTTGAGTAATATGAAGCTTTGATGTTCAAGTAGTCTCTTTTAAATAACAAAATATATTCCAGAATATAAGTATTTACACTACCATATAAACCAAGGTTGATATTTTGGGATTGGAAATTAAGTGGTTAATGAAATAATTTACTGCTACCTTTGTATGAGAAAAGATGACATATTTTCAAAAGCAGCCTAAGTGGTTATTATACCACAGATTCTCCCAGAGTCTCTACTATGAAGATTCGATATTCACCTTATGACCAAGTATACAGAAGGAGAAAGAAAAATCTTAACCAATTTTTACTGACCGTGAGAACTTAGTCAAGGAGTTAAGAACATGGAGTCAGATAAACCAGGTTTTAGGCCCAGTTCTGCCAACCTGGAGACCTAGACTAACATCTTCTAGCCTCATCGATAACCTGGGTAATAACAGCACTGACCTCATGGACTTTATGAAGATGAAATTTGATGATGTATGTAAAGCTGGCAGCCCAGGGGCTGAGACTTACTGGTAGCTGTCCTCAGCTGCTGTTTTGTTTTGTTGTTTGTTTTTTTTTGTAAAAGGAAAGGTTGTAATTTCCAGGAATGTAAAGTAACTCAGACTAGGTCTAAAAGTGTTATATAGTCAAAATCCAAAGAGAATCCTCTTTAATGAATAGAGAGAATTTATTTAAGCAGCTTATCATTTCCTACCAAATGTTTGCTCACTGAGGTACATAGAGCCCACACTTAAGCCTTAAACTCGCCCCAAATCATTACTAATTTTAAATTGACAGGAGCCAAGCTAATACTTATTTTTAGGGTGCACACCACTATGTATGTGTGTAGATGTTGAGAGACATAGATACATCTATGTATAGATACACTATTATATACATATCTAAGTATACACACATACATATGCACGTGCACATAAAATTCGTAAGTGAAAATTATAAATTTGGCAATAGGCCCCCTCGCCATCTGTGAATGAGGAAATTCCATTCATCTGACATGGGATAAACAGACTACATTCCCTGCTGACTTCAGAGCGAGCTCACTTGCCATTCAAAGTCCGAAAATCAGAAGCACATGGCCTAAAGTCCAAAGGGTGTACGAACACCACACAACCAGCGCCAGGCTATGCTGGCTCTGCCCAGCGAATTGCAGCAAGTGGTCCTGGTGTTGGGGAAGTGCCTCAGCACCGTGCTCACCACGTGCTTAGTTAATGCAGCCAATTTAGGAGAAGGAAGAAACCTCAGGGACCTTTCAATCCCACCCACCCCTTGATTCATAGGAGAAAATGATGCTCAAATGGAAAGGTGACTGCCCAACGGCTCCCTCAGCAGAGGTGACAATAGAAATTAAGCCAGGAGCCTTCCCCACGAACACATTTCTGCCAAGGTTAAAACCGATTTGATCATAAATTCCCTGGAGCACAGCTCCTGAGAGGCAGAGGCTGCCCTGACCTAACTGGAACCTTCGAGACCGCCCCAATGCAATTGCTCATAAATGCTGGGTGGGAAGTGAGCCCTTTGTGTGAAGAATTTACCTCCCTTTGCAGGTCATCTGTTTGTTCTGTAACACCTTCAAGTTGAAGTTTTACCAGCCCCTGTTGTGTATTTCCTTTTAATAAAGACTCCTACAAAGAATGAAGAGAACAAATCACAATGCTTCAAAATAAATGTTCTGATTCACTGGTTATCAACTATTTTGTTCACAGAAATAAATTCTTCTTTCCTTGAAATTGCATTAAAAAATAAAATGAATCACATTTACGTAAGTTTTGATTATAGCAACATGCTCCCATCTGCCACCTTTTGCATAATATTCCCCATACATGCCTGGCCGGTGTGGCTCAGTCATTGAATGTCGATCTATGAACCATAAGGTCACGGTTCAATTCTCGGTCAGAGTACATGCCAGGGTTGTGGGCTCGATCCCCAGTGTGGGGCAGGCAGGAGGCAGTCAATGATTCTCTCTCATCATTGATCTCTCTCTCACTCTCTTTCTCTCTCTCTCTTCCTTCCTCTCTGAAGTCAATTTTATATATATATATATAATATTTCCCATACATACTAGTATATGAATTTAAAGTATGTTGTATTGTGCAGAATCCATTACTCCTGCTATTCTTGGGTAAGTCTGGCTTAATTTCATTAGAGTTACATCAATTTTAACCATAATTGCTAACACTTTTAAAATTTCACTTTAAAAACTTATTAGGCTTAAAGAAAAAAAACTTATTAGGCGAAAATACAAAAGTATTAAGTAAGTCTTCATAATCACTAACAATTAGTGCTTAATTTATGCCAACTGTCTTCTAATTTTTTACTTGCATGATTGTATTTAAACCTTATAACAACCCTATAAAATGGCTATATTATTATTCGGGGGGGGGGGGGCGGGGATAATTAAGTGACTTGGCCAAGGTTGCTGTGTAGATAACAATGAAAACAGTAAACAGTTAAGAGTTTACATTCTTAATCTAGTGCATAATTTAGATAAACATAAAAAGTTATTTAAAGGAATTGGCAAGTGGTTTAAATGGGAGCAAATCATTCAAACATAGTTAAAATTGACATATTCATAGATAGAAGGTAGGCTGACAGCTGGTGGCAGGGACTGGGGGTGAGAGAAGAGATTGAGAAAAAAAGAGAGAGAGAAAACTCATGGACATTGACAATGGTGTGGTGATTTCTGGGGTAGAGGGGGTGGGGAAAGGTAGAGGAGGGTATGGGGGAATAAATGGTGAACATACAATACAATGTACAGATGATGTTGTGGAATTGTGCTTCTGAAACCTGTATAATTTTATTAACCAGTGTCACCACAATAAAGTCAATAAAAAGAAAAAAATACTTAAAATTTAAGGCAAGAATTTATCTCACTTGATAAATTTAAAATATAGTTATATGCCTGGGGCCCCTAGTGATAAAAAAAAAATAGTATTGGCAGATTGTGTCTATGGTGAGTGGAAAAAAATTTCATATTTCCTGGTTTTTATTTTAAAAATGAACACACACACACACACACAGGCACACTTGCCTAAGGAAATGTCTAATCTAAGAAAAGCTTTTAACTAAAAAAGACAGTCAGGAATGACTATCCTTGACACAGTGAATTAATTATCTCAAATTCTAATGTATAGGTTTTAAGGAAAATTAAGAATAATATTTTTTCCAATTAGCATTAAAAATACTAGAGTAGAATGCTGTCAACTGAGTCTATTTCTAACCACCACCACCACCACCACCACCCCGCCTTTTTGGGACCCAGATCCTATTTGACTAAACATAAAACGGTGATATGCCCACAGAGATTTTTATATAATCTTCCAGGTTAAAAAAAAACTTTTGCGCCTAAAACTCAAGTTAAGAATAATACATTTACAGAACATAGTTATCTTCAGCAGATTCCAACATTAAAGAAGATACCACCTCAATTTATTTCCTGTATTTGTATTAGGACAGCTATTTTCAAATAGCCCAAGGTTTGTCTTAAAGAGGCACAAGTGCAATTTGCCTTATTCGAAAGGTGAAGAACGACCGTGAGGTAGAATTTATGAAAAGGCATCTAATGAATAACTCATAAACAATTAAGGGGTCCTACAGTAAAACAAGTTAGTGTTGGATAATAAGGTCTCTGGTCACGTTCAAGGGAAGGCTGGACACCTCCCAGCAGTACACATCATGAATAAGGAAGCAGAGGGGACAGACAGAATGACTCCTACTGTCCAGCCCAACTCCATATCTCTCAATGATGCATCTCTGTATTCCCAGTACCTACCCGGAGATATTTGGTTGTATTTTCCAGGTTTGACAAAATTCCATATGGGACAGGAATAATGCTGGTGAGGTTCACAGAAAGACTGGTATCACCAATATTGTCTAAGTCATCCAGCAGCACACCTACACATTCATCATCACAAGCTAAAAGAAAAAGAAAGTTAAATTAATGCAAAATGGTCTGCACATTTTCCCTTGGGTGTGCATTAGCCATTTTACAATAACAACATAAAGTCATAATAAGGGCAAAGCATACGACAAGGCTCCCAGGAACGGAATCTCACACGATGGGAGGCAAGCAGAGAACACAAGTCCCTATCCTCAGATGGTGACTCCAAGACTCAGATCAGAGAAGTGACTTCCCCAGTCACACAGGAAGCAACAACTGATCCGAGTGGGTCCCAGGTCGGGTGCACGTTGTGTCAACAGCTCCGACCTTTGCAGTGCATCTGCTCATTCGGGACTTGGACCAATGGCAACGAATTTCGAATGTGTTTCCTTGCAGCGCCTGGTCTGTCATTTCCTGAGATAGTTTGCAAACACACCTTCAGCAAATTCAAGAGAAGGAGACTGGGGAAAATAATGGATGTGTTTTTCCTTAAAACAAATACATAAACAAAAGCTCTTGAATGCCATGATCCTGACATTACTTCCCCTCCATCTTCCCCATGAACCACTGAGAAGACATTTGTAGATGAGCACTCATGTACTTGCTACTAAAATAAATCAGGACTGGAAAAAAAAGCCCACAGCAGCCAAGAGCTGAAGCCATCAGTGAAATCTGAGTAACACAAATGACAACCCACAAAGGTGTTCTCTCTCTGCGCTGACACTTGGCTCCATTAAAGGGATATTAATGCAGATAAACTATGAAGCTGGAATTACTGTGCTGCTTAGAGTGCTAGAGAGATAAATGCTGCTACCCTAGAACCTTCTGCCTCGGCTCCAAACGCACTATGAAAAGTTCAGTTTGGCAGAATACATAGCAATCCTTGCTTAGTTAAAATAGGACTTTCTCCTGCTGATGCCATAGGGCGCAGTAATAGAAAAACAACAGGAAAAACAGTTGAGAGGAAAAACCACCTTTAAACAGTTAGGAAGGAAAATACCCACAAACACAATTGCTTTCCACCAGAATGTGCCTGGGTTCACAGTCCTCGCATCGGAGCCCCGCGGCCCCCGGCCTGCAGACGCACTGCCCAGTCCTGCGGTCACAGTCCCGGTGAACAGAGCCATGCGGGCTGCAATCACACCTCTGGCAGGTGCTGCCTGGCATTCCAGGGTTCCCATGATAGCCCGAGGAGCACCTAGGGAAAGGAGAATATGCAGTTACAGACAACAGTATCAGTGCCAGTAAGATAATATAGCAACCATTTCTGCCAAGTGAAGTGCAAAGAACACAGTCCCACTTACCTCATTCTACATTTTATATCCTAAAAGGAGGATGAGATAGTCATAGAAGGTGCATTTACTTACCTTAATACAAGATTTGTTTTGGAATATCAATCATGCACAACCAAACTGATACTCTCAAATCACTTTAGTAAATATGTCCTACAATATCAAGCAGCAGATGTGCCTTGCAATTTCCATGCCATCACGCCACAACATACCTCTCACAATATTGCCCTTCGTAGCCCCGCACACAGGCGTCACAGCGGAAATCGTGGTCACCTTCCAAGACACAAGTCGGACTAAAACTGAGAGAAAAACAATGGTTTTTGAATTTTCAGATATACAATTTCAACTCTTGCTTGTGGTACTTGTTCATTACTCTTAGGGTACAAGACACTGTCCTGAAAATTAAGTGATTACAGTGCACAGTTAGACAAGGTTTTTAGGACTTAAAATATATTGAGCAAAAATATATTGGGGAAAATAAACATGTAACCAGTACTTGTGCACCTCTTGTATCCAAAAGACACTCATTAGACACCTGTCCAGTGACAACCATGTGAGGGGAAGGAGGCAGATCTTACAGATTTTCCCTGATTAGTCACCAAACAAGAAAGCTTCCCAGGTGAAGGGTCTTGTTCTGAGATTTAGGTGAAGAATTATGTGACTTATTAGATGAAAAGGTGATTACAGAGAGCTGTACGTGATGACTATGAGTAAGCATGAAAACCAGCAGAGAGAAGAGAGTGGGACAAATGCTGGTGAATATAATGGGCTACAATGACAGGCAAGTAGGAAAAGGTGGGGCAAAGAAGAGTGAAGAGTGGGGGTGGAATTTGAAAATAAATGGACCTAAAGGTAGGGACTCGTGTGAAGGACAATTTGAAGCAAAATGATAGAGCTCCTCAGAGTTTAATATCCACTCTGATAATGGATCCCCCTCAGTCATGGACTTCTGCTTTTGGCTTATTCCTTCCTTTCTTTACAACCACTGCCTCCACATTTTAAATTACCAATACACCATGTGCCATCTAGAGGCTCAGATGGGTACTGCAAACCATTGAAGAAAACCACCTGGGCAGTTAAGAGAAATTCCAAGAATGAGTTACAAGATTCTCTATCAGCCCTACTTCACGTTTGAATTTTTTTCTCCTTAAACAGCAAAGGGACAGACTTCAGTGGAAACATAAAATGTGTAGAAAACAAAGCATGCATTTTAGGGCCCTTCAGGTACATAGCACATTATAAATGTCCACAGGCTCTTCCTAGCAGTGTAAACTTTAATTCATTATCATAGGCCCTGGGGATGGTCAGAACCTTTTTTGACTGAAAAAGTAAAATATTCAAACATTACAGAAATATGGGAAGTAGAAAGGTGATATATTCTTCCAAACATTTCTCTGGGCATATACAGCCATGGAGCTATGGATATGAATATACATATGAATGTAAACTTTTTCCAAAATAGCATCACATTATATAGTCACAATTAAATAATTAATTGGCCATTTCTCCAATTTTGTACATATAGATATACCTCATTCTTTTCTCAGTGTTTGTATAATATTTCACTCTAGGTATGTACCACAATGTCTATCCATCCCCTAGAGACAGGTATTTCAGTTCCTCCCCAGTTTCTCATGAGTATAAGCAATGATGAAATGTATCCATCTTTACACACACATGCAAGTATTTCTATAGTTTAGATTACAGGAGTGGAATTGAGTCAAATTTTATATACAGATTTAATACAAAACATTAATGCTAACAATAAATTTTAGGATGCTTGGTAGTTTACAAGGGAAGTGTACACAGTGCCTCTCCTTTTGTATCCACTGTCAAGCATCGCTTTCTTGGAGATAATAGAAGATAGAAGATTCAAACAAATATTGAAAAAAAAACTTCATTTTAGTATACTAAATGTGTATATTTGATTTGTGTTCAAGGCTGTGTCAAATATTTTAAGCAATGATGAAATGATATTTATGAATTACAATTTTCATTAAAGCCAAAGAGGACACACAGATATTCCAACTTCCACTTAAAATCTCTGATTCTTTTTGGTGTGCAGATAGATAATTCTACACAATCACCATGAGTGCCAGGGAAAACCTGGCCCCACTTTCATCACTATGTAGCATTTCTGCATTTCATCAATCATCACCAAATATAAATTTCTAAACCTGTTCCCTTACACTAAACAGGAACAGAATTCCTTATGTCATTATTCATAAAATTAACCATAATTCACCTCTAGGCACACTGGATAAATAGGTCGGAGGCTAAAATTGGTCTTAAAAAAACAAAACAAAACACACACACTAAAAGAAACCCCAACAACCTGAAAGTCCTTTCTTTAATTGGTTCCATTTTCACACCCCAATACCAACACAGATACTTTGCTTTTGAAAAGATTCTCTTCAAGTGCTTGTGAGAATGTAACACTTTTTCTAAAATTAGCCATTCTCAACACATGGAAAATATTAATTAAAACAGACATGTACAGACCCTGGAAACTGGGGCTGAAAACAGAATCACCCCCAGCTTCGGTGGGGCAGGTGTGCAGTGCATCTGCACAAGCTCACCTGGCAGGGCCGCTGTGAGGACAGGTGCACAGAGAGCAGTCGGTGGCTGAGCCCGTCACCTTCCCATAGTACCCGGGAGCGCACACATCACAGTGGTCACCAGACGTGTTATCGCCGCAGTTCTGGGGCCCCATGTTTAAGAAGAGGGAAAATGGAAAGTTGTTAGAAATCATCCTTATCTGGTAACAGCTAAGCATCACCACGTTTCACGTCAGTTTATTTTTTAATTCTTAGGGAAGGGAGTCTTTTCTTCAAGTTTGTTAAATCATGGAAACATTGCCAGCTCTGTGGCCTTCTTTCATTAGAAAACTATACTTATCCAATACAGCCTATAAATTACTAATACATTCTTCTTATGGAAAATATCCACAGAGCAGCTAGCTTTTGATCCTTAAAATTTGAATCTAAAATATATAGAGATTTAAAGTGATCTGAAGCACACTGGCTTTGCACATGCTTGGGGTTCAATGATCACATGTAGGGAGTTGAAAGATCAGAGTGAATGAATAAATGACGTGGGAAACAGACAGTGAGGGAAGAAAACGCAGGGTTTAGAGCTGCACCAATAGACTCCTGCAATAACAAAATCATTTCTAGTTAAAATTTATGTCATCATTTGGACCTAAAAGTAGGCTATTAAAAAAATTAAGCTAAAAGACCAAGCAGTTCTTGACATTGAATCCAACACAAAACCTGCTTTTGTTTGGCCTTGGGCGCTGGACTGGGCCTGACGCAGTGACAGAAGCTACTGAGAAAATGCACTACCTCAGGCTTTATAGTGGGAAGCAAGAGATGATGTAGAGAGAAACCTTTTTTTATGTTTGAAAAACTTTTACATTTTTCTTATTAAAAATGATTCCAATATTTTTCGTTTAAAAATTGTATCCCTACTTTACCTAATGAAAATAGATTTTATTGGGACCCAGTTGGTCCCTAAAACTGGAATCTGTTTAGAAGTAAAATTTGCAACCACTCTCTTAAAAAGAAAATGTGTTTAAAAGTTGTATATATATATATATATACATATATATATATATATATATTTAGAAGCCCAGTGCATGAAATTCGTGCACTCGGGGGGTGGGGTCCCTCAGCCCAGCCTGTGCCCACTTGCAGTCCACAGTCCGGGAGGCTCCAGAAGGGAGCGGGCCTAAGCAGTCAGTCAGACATCCTTAGTGCTGGAGCTTCTCCCGCCACCACCGCTGCACTCGCCAGCCGTGAGCCTGGCTTCTGGCTGAGTGGCACTCCCCCTGTGGGAGCGCACTGACCACCAGGGGGCAGCTCCTGCATTGAGCGTCTGCCCCCTGGTGGTCAGTGTGCATCATAGCGACCAATTGTTCTGTCATTAGGTCGATTTGCATATTAGCCTTTTATTATTTAGGATACATGTATGTATATAGGTAGATATAGATATAGATATAGATATAGATATAGATATAGATATGGATATATAGATGCTATAGATATAGATATAGATATATAGATATAGATATAGAGAGATATAGATATATAGATATATAGATATATAGGTATAGATATGGCTGTTAAAGAATAAATATTAGATGGTGAACAGGACTGAAGCAGACTTTTTGGTTTTTGATTGGTAATACCAACTCCAACATTAAAAGCTCCCCCTAACATATGAGCTCCCTGGTTTTCAAGATTCTAGAAAATCAAAGACAAGCTGCCCCAAAGAATGGCAAGCAAATAAGAACCTGTTCATGTGAACTGACACGTGGGATGAGTTGGTTGCTATGGGAAATGCACAGAGAATCTGTCAATTTTTCAACTGGAAAAAGGCTGAGTCCTATCTCTTGGAAGAGGGTAGCTGGGGAGAGGGACCCCCAGGGTATCTCTCTGCTCTTTGGTTTCCCCACCCGCTTTCAGGTCACATTTCTGATCAATCTCTTCTATGATAATACCAAAGGCCCAGTGACATGAAGAGGGAGGAACATCCTACGTGCTGGGTGAAAAAATCAAATCCAAAAGGTCTTGATGCCCACCTATACTCTCACAAATGCCTAGGGAGTGCTTAAGAGACTTTGTCAAATGGAAATGAATGGTTGTACTGCACCACAAGAGAGGTCTCACAGATAAGACTGAAGAGGAAGGTAAGGTCCCAAGTTCAAAGAGCAAGGCCTCAGGTGCTGAACTTGTGGAAAGAATGTAAGCATCTTAGTGTCTGGTCCATTTGGGACGGGCAGCAGTGACGGCATTGGGCCCTGAGCATGCTTTCAGTCAGATGCTGGCCTCACACCTCAGAATGGTGAATGGACTCAGAACCATCACAGGTGACCTGCATGTGCATGTACCCTGAGGGTGTCTGACTGAGAGGGCTGAATACTCAGAGCCTGTGGACACGTGAAAGAAGAGTCTTGTCAAATGTTTTTGCCAATTACTTGTTAAGATACTGCCACTTTTCATGACCAAATTTGACCTAGTGGCTTGTCTCCATGACTCCAAATATTAAAACTACCAACGGGCAGATGATCCAAGGGCACCAGTCCCAGGAGCAATCAGGGTTGCCCAAAGATGAGCTGAGCGGTTGTGGGAGTGAGCTGGAGGTGTGTAAATATACATTAAGTAACCGCTTGGCATGGATATTCTAGTTTAGTCTTAAGATCTGATGGGACTCTGACAAAAACAGGTCTGTTGCAGCTCTGAACTTCCAAGCTCTAAGCCCAGACACTATTTTCTGTTAGAGTAGGTTTGGGTTACAGTAATTAGCAATGCCTTGTAGGGACAAGGATAGAACACAGATCTTCCATAAAAAAGGGGGAAGAGCAAGAAGCAAAATGTGTTCTGCTCAACACCGTGATTTATAATTAGATTTATAATCTTTTGTCCAGTCTTCTGGCATTATGCATGTCCACTGTGGTGTTACTGCAAAATTAACAGGCCCAGGAGGTCTTCTAGGGTTCCAGGTCACATCTGGCCAACCATTCCCCAGGCAGGGAACTGTCTGGAAGCTATCCATCATGGTTTATGCTGGGAAGACTCTGCCACAATCTTTCATGTTCTTTCCTAGTACAAATCAACAAGTCAGCTGAAGATCTTGGAACTTTGTTCTGGTGAACTCAGGCCAGGAAAGGCAAGGTCATAATTTAGTGTCCTGGGAGTATCTAATCTTGTTAAATGCAGTCTGAAAGAACTGATCAACTTGTTAAACTGTTCATGTGACCTTCGTCCCTATGATTGGCCAAGGGACCTTCCCACTTAATTACATCTCACTTTATGTTGCCTGAAATCAATTCTCCTTAAATCCTCAGATGATATTTCCCCCTTTTCTCTATTAGCACTCCCTTTTGCCTGGAGCATGAGCTGATTAGAATGAATAAATTTTTCTTAATAGTGTTGCAGCTATTTGCATCCTCATTAAGTCCATTTTACCTTGGATGACTGGAATAATTCTTTAATTCCACATATATAATGGGGTTAGCAAAGGTTAACACATATCTTTTAATTGAGAAAAACCATGAAGTACTTCAGTTTCTAAATTCACCTATGCACTGCTGTAATTTAGCAATTTCCCTTGTAGAAACTGCTTTTAAATTCCACATATGAAAGATGCTTCTCAATAAAAGAAGAGGAAGGCAGATCTAGTGTGACTGAAGGCCAGTTGGTCTTCATTCCTCTGGGCCACACCCAGGACCCCTAATGCTTCCAGTGTGTCTCTCTTGGCAGGCAGTCCATTTTTCTTCAGTAAGTTATTTTACATGCGGCAAAAATTTATACAATTTACCAATGTTTCCACATGTTATTATAAAGGATGAGGTTTCAGGAGTAGAAAAAGAATATCGTATTATTCTATGTTATCAATAAGGCCGTGACAACTTAAGCAAAATCATGAGCACAAGAGTTCATGCTCAATTAGGGCCACAAGATTTCTTTCTGGGTCTTGTGGTCCTTTACAATGATCAGAGTTCTCCTCATGTCCCTGAGACCAATCTTGGTCTCTAGGGGAAGGTGTCTAAGACAGCCACAAGAATAAATTTTTTTTACAAATGCAAAAAGAGTACAGAGAAATACATTTTAAACATTGGCATTAACTTATTTTAATACTTCCAGGTGACTCCTCAATTTTTTTTTTAAATATGTTTTTATTGATTTTAGAGAGGAAGGGAAAGGGATAGAAAGACACATCGATCAGCTGCCTCCTGTAGCTGATTGAGCACACAACCCGGGCATGTGCCCTGACCAGGAATTGAACTGGTGACTTCTTGGTTCATGGGTTGATGCTCAACCACTGAGACACATGGCTGAGCTGACTCTTCAAATTCTATGATGTAAAGTTCTCATCTACTGTGACTATAACCACCAGCATCGTTAAGTATAAGCAAGGCCCACTTAACCAATTCCCAAATTGATGCCTGCAAACAAATTCAAGGAAGCAAAATTTTTAAAGAATTTCCATTAGCAATCTCAGGCCACTTAGTTAAAACCTTTCTGAAGAAAACATGTGTGTATCTTACATTTCACTAAATGTAAGCTCTCTCTAAACCAAGGGACTGGTGTGACTTTGAACCGGGAATTTCAATGCTCACTGCCTACCTTGATTCTAACCTTCAAGCAAGCACCCACCCAAACATACCAGACACTTCCCCGTTTCAGGGTCACAGGTGTCGCTGTGGTTGTTACAGCTGCAGGGCACACAAGGTGCAAGCAGAAGGCGAGGTCCCCTGTCACCACCTTCCAGAAGCTTCCCTCTGTAGTAACCAGGTGCACAGTACTGAGGGTATGCAAAAGGGAAGAAAATGAATAAAAATCCGATTTTAAATTGGGCAAAAAGTTTGAGTAGGCATTTCTCCAAAGACATACAAATGGAAATGAACACATGAGAAGAAGCTCAACATTACAAATCACTAGGGAAGTGCAAATCAAAACCATAATGACACACCACCTCACACCATTAAGATGGCTACTATACTAGTAACACAACAACAAAAACACAGACAAAAACCCGTGTTGATGAGGAAGTGGAGAAACTGGAACGTGTGCTTTGCCAGAGGGAACATAAAATGATGGAGTACTATGGAGAGCAGTATGGTAGCTCCTCAAAACTTAAAAACAGAACTACCACATGACCTAGCAATTCGACTGAAAAGCTAGGTTTGGAACTGAAAGCAGGGTTTAGAAAGATATTTGTATGCCCATGTTCATAGCAGCATTGTTCACAATAGCCAAAAGGTGAAACAACCTATGTATCTTATTGATGGATGCATGGATAGACAGAGTACATATTTTTCAACCTTAAAATGAAGCACATCCAGATACATTGTACGGCATGAATTAACCTTGAATACATTATGCTAAGTAAATGAGCCAGTCATAAAAAGACAAATACTGTCTTCCACTCATGTGAGGCACTTAGAGTAGTCACATTCATAGATAGAGAAAATAGAGTGGTGGTTGCCAAGGACTGGCAAGAGGGGAATGGGAGTTAGTGTCTAATGAGCACAGAGTTTTAGTTTTGCCAGGTGGATAATTCTAAAGATTGGCTGTACATCACTGTGAGTGTACTTAACCTCACAAAACTTGAAAATGGTTAAAACATGTTTATACACATTTTACCACATTAAAAAAATTAAGGGAAAACTAATATAATATGATACGCATACGTTCTGTTCATCACTTGGAGCTGCTATAACAAGCATATTTCAACCCAAAACCAGGACATGGACCTGCATCCCAGTCTCCCCACCTGACATGAGAATCCAGCAGTGCCAGGAGGGCAGAGACACTTCTCCAACAGCGAGGCCGCCTCCCTCCCCGGGGGCAGCTCATCAGCCTTTCTGCCGACCTCCAGGGAAATGTTTGAAATCCTAGGAAATGGTTGTGTTTACAAGGATGAGAGAAAACACCAATTTTTAGAAAGACACTTCCTAGAAACAGCGCAGTAGGTAATGAAATTTGCACATATATTATAGCCGCACTTTCCTCAGGATTACAAAGGAAATGTGTGAAAGCACATTCATACTGTCCTTACACAGTGAAGGTTCTCAGGCCACATTTTAGACTTAAAATAGTGTTACTGCTCTGGCTGGGCAGCTCAGTTCATTGGAGCGTCTCCCATACACCAAAAGGTTTGGGGTTCGATTCCCAGTCAGGACACAAACTTAGGTTGTAGGTTCAATCCCTAGTCAGGGTGCATATGGGAGGCAACAGATTGATGTTTCTCCCTCTCCCTCTCCCTCTCCCTTCCTCTCTGAAATCAATGAAAACATGTCCTCGAGTGAGGATAAAAAAAAATAGTGTTACAGAAAATATACTTGAAAGACCTCCTGAAGTCCAGTTTGGCCAAAAGTTAGTGGCCTCCTTTACAGGTTAAGTGAGCAGGTGACAGCATCCTTGATACTTACAAAGAAATGAGCATTGAGGTTTAAAGGCAGAAAATAGCAGAACTTAAAAATATTTGTTTACATTTTTCCTCATCTAAGATATTACCATTATGTACTTATATTTTATACCCACATTAGTATGAGAGATAAATACTCTATGTCATTTTTCATACATTTCACACTAATATTACAATTTAATAAGGTTTTGGTGGAGAAAGAAATACATATATTAATAAATATAGGAGGTAATGGGGGTGAAGTGAATCAAATCTCATCAAACCCCTTCACTTTGCTTTCACATAAGAAAAATATTTTTAAATTCTAGAAGTTTCCACATACCTGCTTTGCTGTAGCCCTTGACCATAAGATGCTTTGATGAGAATGTACTCAATGTTGCTAAGAACAGACATAAAATCTGAGCGTGTAACAGGCTTTTCAGAAACAGAATTAAAGTATTTCCAATAATTCTGTGGATGGGAAACACATTCAATGAAAAATTCAGAATACAAATTCTCAGAAGCACACAAACTTACAAAGAAAGTGATTCTTTTACAAATTTATCCAGAAATGAGCCCAGTTCTGTGCATGCCACTAAGTTTAATTAAGGAAGACCTCCTGTCACCTCCCAGGGGGCAGCAGTGCCAGTCTCCTGTATCCACACACATCACCCGTGGCAGCCACACAGTGGCCGGTCAGTCAGTATCTCCCTGTGAATGAATACACTGCCCAGATTCAAGCAAGTCCAAAGACTTCCTACCATTATGTCCACACAGCCAGAGAGTTGTGTACTAAGATCAAGGATTTAAATGCAATTCCCACTAAATTAACATAAGCCTTACATCAGTGTCTTGAGAATAGGAATTTGAGTCATTTTTAGAAATCTTGCTAAACCCATTGGAATTTTGATGCCAGGCTCTCTGAGCTCACTCTCTTACTAGCAGCTTACTGACATCATTATAACCACAGCAAAGCTCACGCCTTTGAGGGGCTTATATGAAAAGAGCACATGGTCACCTCTTTCATTTCAGCTTCTTGCTCTTGCCTCACTCCGTTCTCCGGTGCGGGTGCATCCATGTAGATGACTTGCTTTCTGGTCCGGCCTCCTCTGATGAGCACTTGAGGCTCAAGGTTGAAGGTGCCCATGCCATTGGAGGAATAGAAGGCCACGCTGTACTTCAGTTTGCCCCCATAGGCCAGGAGCTATCAAATAGTAAATGATTGCTTACTTCACTGACACAGCATTGATTTAAAAATATTTCATTACAAGCCTGCTGCATTTTGGAAATCTTGCATCTTAAAAATACATCACATGGGTAGACTATGCTGTCTAGAATTTGCTTTCCTCTAATTCTACTTAATTACAGATTAAGTTCACTTAAGCTATAGTCTTTTCTTTGTTAAGTGATTTTTATAAAGTTTTAAAAAATTAAGTTTATTGGGGTAAACTGGTTAATAACATTATATAATTTTCAGGTGTCAACATTATAATTCAACAACTGTGCATGCTTTTGTGTGCCCCCACCCAAAGGCTAGCTTCCTTCCTTTACTATATAATATTTGACCCCTTTACCCACTTCACCCTCCCTTCACCCCTTCTACACTCTTATGTGGACTATAGTACAGTTGTTTTTTTAACCACTTTATTGAGGCACAATTGGCTGTAAAAAGCTGTATATATTTAATGTATATAACTTGATGAGTTTGGGGATAAGTATACACCTGTGAAACCATCACCCCCATCACAATCACATCCATCACCTTCCACAGCATCCTCTTGATGACACTGACAACGGTAAATTCCAAAATAACAATCAACGTAGCAATGGTCCCAATTATTTTCAAGCTCCTTTGAATTACAAATTACCTATCTCCGTAGGCTCACTGGATGTATATTTGCACATTTTAACCATCAGGGTGAATTCACATACAGATTCCAATGTTTATATAAACAAAAATGCAAGTAATGCCTTCAATGTTCTTTCCTCCAAACTGGACGATTTCTGAGAAAGACCTTGTAGGCATAGCAGCCAGGCTTGTATTGAGCTTATATCAGTAAAAACAATAAATATTTTTTGAATGACTGCTTTAAAAGAAAAAGAGATTATGATTTGAATTTTTAAAAGACTAGAAAATTAACTCATACAGTTAGGAGGATTTGTATAAGTGTTAGACTTTTCCATCCCCACTTGGAAGAGGAAATTAATAATCTCTTCAGTGAAGGATAGGCCGGCACAGTCTGTAGTGATTCAAATGACACCGGTATCCCCGGGAGCATGCACGGCTCTCGGCTGGGTGTGGGCCTCACCTGGGTCTCCCTGGAACTGCTCCGGCAGCCGCCAGTAAAACGGCTCTGCGTGGACGTGCCGCCTGACGGTCACAGCGTCCAGGAGCACGTCAGGGGCCTGGTAATACACCCCCTGGGTCGTGCCCCGGAGGTTACTCTGAGAAACCACTCGCAGAAGAGGCTGATCTGAGCCCAGCGTTATCTAGTCATGGAAGGGAGGGAAAATGCACTTGAGAACACGACTTAACTCCATACCTTTGATTTGTCAGATTCTGCCACTATTTCCCAGACATGATAGCTTCATTATTAAAACCCGAATAATGAAGACTTTTCCTTTAATCTTAAACTTCTGGATTAAAATGACCAGAAAGTGTTTTAAGCATTTAGGGTCAAACTGTTGCTATATGGGGACAATGCTCAGTTGTATAGAGACCTTTGAGATGTTGCGGTTTCTCTCCTCTCCACCTAAAGCTTTTGATAGATCAGCTAAGGAGCAACACGGAATGCTTTAAGTTCCAGCTCCATATATTTCTTTGGACAGCAGAAGCAGAATTCTGATTCATAAGAAACCCAAATTAGTGTCTCAGTGTTTCTGATGCCATAAAAGCAAAATTTAATGTAAGAACTTGAACTTTCTCCTTAGCCCCACCCGAATCCCAAGGGTTCAGGCTTAAAAACAGAACATGTTAACTGCATGTCTAACTTACCAGTGTCCTCACATAACCCTCCAGCTCCGAGCAGAGCTGTGACAGCCCAAAGCAGAAGCACGGGGTGCAGCCCCGAGGGTTGTCAGCATGGAGAGCAAAGGTACCGGCCCGACACTCATTGCATTGAAGGCCAAGGACATTTTCCTAAAGGGGAAGAAATATTAGACTCATTTTTACCTGAAAAAATATACGATTTCTGAAGAAACAGACATGAAATAAACCAAATCATCTAAATAATTTTGGATCAACAAACATCTCTGAACTAGCTGTTCCTTAACCTCTCTGAGGATTAGTTCTCTCAAAAACTCAATCAGTGACTCCCAAACATAGCTGATGACCAGAATCGTCTTGCACACTTTAGAAAAATACAGAATCCCTGATGAGAGCCTCCTGGAGGGGACCCAGAATCCTTCTGGAGGTCCCAGGTGACTCTGATGATGGGTCAGGTTGGAGAAGCATGAACCAGGTCCCGCCTATTCAGACCATGTATAATGAGAACTGCTGTCACGAATAGGGAGGCTAAAGGTATTCACGGATGTTTTCATTACTCCCTGGCCACAGTACGTATATGAGTTTTCCCTGCCTCATCCCCAGTCACTAATCACCACTACAGTTTAGCTTCCATCACACCAGACCCAGAGAAGGACCAGAGAAGGTGGCCAATGACCTCCTTATAACAAAGCCCTTTGGGAAAACTAATGGAAATAAGCATGAGGTTGAAATCTTACCTCCTGGGAAAATAAGAAACACGAATTCCCTTTAGTCTTCTAGCACATACAAAGAATTAATTACTTACCAGCTCTAAAATCACAAGTCTTCTTAACCCTGTGTATCTATTTTACCTGTATGTCCAAGACAAATCAGCTACTCAGCCAACTGAAGCACATGATAGAAAACTCAGTGTTTCTCAAATCAGTTTCATCGTCTGACTTGTAATAATCAGTAAAGAGCCGGTTTAAGAAACCATTCATAGTTCTAGAAGAGTATACACAGACTTACTCAGACCTAGAAGGTAGCGTGGACTCATTAGGAGAAGCCTAAAGCCTAGTGCTTAGTTAAAAGCCCAAAAGTCATAATGAGGAGAGAGAGGAAGAAAGTGGGGTGCCAAGGACCCATACCTTGCAAGAACAGGTACCAGTTCCCTGTGCACAGCTGCACAGACCCTGTTCCTCATCACAGGTGTCCACCATGGTCCCTCTCAGGTCACAGTCACAGGCCACACAGTCTGGAAAGTCTCGGAAGCCCAGGGCGCACTGATGGCAGCTCGGCCCACCAAAGACAGGCTTACACTGGCAATGGCCAGTGAGCACCTCGCATTGATGACTGGCTGACCCTTCACTACTGCAATTGCAGGCCTGAAAGAAAAAGCTTAAGTCAATAAAAAGGCAGCTTCTACATTTTCATGTGCACACACTGGGATTACAGGAAAACCCTAAATGTGGGGAAATCATACAAATGAATGGTCCCTCTCGATGTTGCCACATGGATTCACTTCCCCACATGCCAGCAGGAGGCAGGGACTGCATTGCTGGACATCTGTGCATTTTTGTGGCACAGGCACATGGGACCAAGGCTGTGACCAGAAATTCAATCTGCTTAATACAGCCAAACAGTTCAGCAACATTCTTTTAGAAGCCAAGTGATTTTTCCATTTTCAAAACACAAACTATATCTAAGTTTAACTGAAGAAAGTTACGTAGAAAATTGGAACCCTGCCCAGCCAGCATAGCTCAGTGGTTGAGTGCTAACCTATGAACCAGGATGTCATGGTTCAATTGCCTGGGTAGTGGACTCGATCCCCAGTATGGGGCATGCAGGAGGCAGCTGATCGATGATTCTCTCTCATCATTGATGTTTCTACCTCTCTCTCCCTTTCCCTTTCTCTCTGAAATCAATAAAAATATATATTTTTTCAAAAAGCAAATTGGAAACCTGGAAGACTAGACATAAGCCCCCCAGTAAAGTGAGTTACGCCCTTATCCTGAAAGGTAGCATACATTGCAGAGTATATTTTAAAGGCACTAAAATAAATTTTTTATCTTTTAGCCATCAATCCCACAGCTAGATTCTTGAAGAAAATTTAGAATAATGTATTTTAAGGGTGCAGCTTTTTTCACTTTGATTCCTATAATCCACACTGGATTTTAAATATAGCTATTCCACAGGTGAAAAATCAAGCTAATAGATAAAAGAAGAGGAATGAAACTTGCTACAGCAAAGTAGTTCTCAGGTAAGAAGATGCAGAGGTCAGAGCACACACCTGGCATCCGAGCTCCAGGTCATAGCCCCAGTATCCGTCCTCACATTCTTCACATCTCACGCCTCGAGTGTGAGGAGGGCAGACACACTCCCCTGATTCTGGGTCACATGTATTCTGAGTGTGAGCGCAGTCACAGGCTACGGCAAAGACAGATGGTGATGTTTCAGGGCAACTGAAGGGGTAAGAGCTGGTGCTACAAGTTACTCCCTTTTATTAATAATCCAAAAGAGACCACATGATTCCCAAGACCCCTTTGTGTCTCATGGGAAGTGATGGCTCCTCCCAGTCAGGAGATGCTGCTGGAGGACATGTAATCAGGACACAGTAGGAGAAAGAAAAGACTGGACCAGGGTGGGAGGGGGGTGAGGGGGAAGATAGAGCTGGTATTTAGCAAGCATGTTCTGTATGCCAAATGCTGTGTTACAGACTATGTACAACTTTAAAAATAACTCCTGGATGGAGACTATACTTAGCTTCTCCATTTTACAAAGGAGGAAACTAAAGCTAAGCCAAGCTAAGTAATTAATCTAAGCTCACACAATTAGTAGGACCTGACCAAAGGTTATGGATGTACCCAGAATAGGCAAACAGAGAAGAGGTATGAAATCCTACATGTTCAAAAGAGAAAGAGTATAGGCTCTTCACAGACTTAGGAGTCGAAGAAGGGCCCAAAGAAAAGTCTGGGGAATACGATACTGTCTCAATGAATTCAAAAGCTTACGTGTACAGCCACCGTCCTGGAATGCGTAGAAGCCACGCGCACACCTGTCGCACCGTTTCCCAGCTACGCCCGGCACACAGTGACACTGGCCTTCCTCTGTGCAGTCGTCCGACAGGGAGCCTGACGGGCTGCAGTTACAGGGCAGGCAGCCGAGCCCCGTGTCCAACCCGTAATAGCCATGCTGTTTCACAGAAGGGGCAGAAATGTGGAGGCAAACATGTTTTAACAAGGGACTGACAGTATTAGAATGTTTTCCAAATCAAACATAGCATGTTTCATAGAATCATAAAGTGTCGTGACCTCATTCTTTTGTAAACTGTATACACCCTCCCTAGATAGGGATGCACAGCACAACCAGTCATGTTGGGGCCTTAGCTCTAACCAGCAGTCACGGATTCACTGTGTTTGAACCAAGGTCAAGGTGTCAATTAGAGACACCCTGACAGATACTTTAATTGCATGCAATGACCGGCAGGCATCTTACCAAGCACTGGTCACACTGCTGTCCGGTCACACGTGCTCGGCAGCTGCACAGCCCAGTCTCAGGATGGCAGACGTCAGAGAGGGAGCCCTTCGCATGGCATTCACAGGCTGGCGCACACAAACATACTGCTCATTTCCCGTACGGTTACAGTAAGATCCCACAGTCCCCACAGGAAAACTTGTAAACATTCTCATTTCAGGTCACAAAACTTAAAAAAAAATACATACATAACTTTGCAATAACTTTAAATATTTAGTATTTTTCTAAAGAGTAAGCAAAAATAAGGTTGGTAGAAGAAATCATCACAGAGAAAAAAACTACTGAAGCTATTAAGATAATAATTAGCAAACTAACTTGACCAATTTCATCAATTCCTTGAAATTTTAAAAATGAACCACTAATGTATATCCACAAAGTTTCATTAAAAAATATGCAATGAAGATTTCAAAATCAACTTCACCATTTGCTCTCATTCCAATTATATCTATTTTAAAGCTCAGATATGCCAATCTAGATAAATATGATATTCCATAATTTAATGAAAAATATTCCCCTGTTCTAACTCATGAGTCATTTGTAGTTCTAATATACTTACCTTCAGGCCAGACTTTTCCATCTTATCTACAATTACAATGTTGATGAGACAGCTACAAAATCCCCACCTTTTTAAAGTGATACAATTTAATGGGTCCATGAAATGTTTAATTGATATTCATTCCACAGTTGTCAATATGCTCTTTACTTAAAATGTTTGATAAGCTCACTGACAAAATATCCCAGGGACATGTACTATTTATGAATACTTGGATTCAGCAAATGCACCACCTCTGTCATATGGTACAGTGATGTGAAGAAGAAAAGAAAAACTGGGAATATCTTAAGCGCAGGCACACCCATGTGGCAGCACACTGAAGTGGAAGGCAGAGCCCTGAGACATGGGAGTTGGAAGGTGGGAGGTCAGAGGAAGGTGGGATTTGCCTCCTTGACTATGGCCAACCACCAGGCCCCCCTGTCACTGGAGGTTTGCTCTGGTGTAAGTGGGATGCTAACAGCTCCTGGGAGGTCTGTGAAGTGCTGTGGGCCCCATTCAGGGCTGCCCATTCCTGCTCTGTCCATTCCTGTAGCCAAACTGTGAACGCGCCACTAACTCTTTCTATTAAACAAGCCCTTTTATTTCCTGCATTTCTGCTGCTTTCCCTTCTAGGACCTTGCAGACTCTGGAAAGACTGTCCTTTCCAGGGCTTGTCAATTCCTAGAGACAGTAAACAGCTACAACACCTTCCACATGCACGCCAGCCAATCCAGAGCCCACACTGCCTTCATTACTGGGCTCAGGTTCATTTGGGCTCTCACATCCCACTGTCCGCCTGCCCTAATCACCCCAGGGCCATGCCTGAGATAGCTAGGGGCAGCCCCTATGCCCCAAAGCCTGCTGAAATCATTGAAACCAACCAACTCTAAACCTGTTTACCCTGCCCCACCCTTTCCTCCTGTGGAAACCACAAGAAAGGCTCTAGCCCACATGTCCCCTCCTGACCAACCGGGGTGCTTCCCACATGGCAACCCCCATGCTGGCCTCTGTGAGTAACAAACTATGTCCTCAATGCTAGTTGTCTCAGATCTGCTGGCCTTACCATACCTAAATAATAATAAAACCTGTATTTCAAACATTGCTCAGCGTCCAACCATCCTCAACGGTGTCCCACTGAAAACACACACACACACACACACACACACACACACACACACACACTCCCTTAACTTTCTCTCCAAGGTTCCATCTCCCTGATGCCTATCCTCTCCCTCCCTTCTCCTTAGCAGGCTCTGTCCTGGCACCTTATCTGCTAAAACAACTCCTCCCAAAGCCTCCAGGGACTTCCCAAGTGCAAGTTCAGTGAGCAGATTCTCAGTCTTCATCTTGCCGTACCTTTCTTCGGGCTGGGACCCTCTGACCACTCTCTCTTTTGAACCTTTCTTAGCAAGGTTTCTGGACACCCACTCGTTGGTTTCTCCTTGTTTTTCCCTCTGCGTCTCCCCCTCTGTGTCTCACATACCGCTTCCCCTTCCTCTGGGGAAAATTCAAAGTTCACTCCGAGTATGAGCATCACAAAATATTGATGATGATGATAACAAATCATATTTATCACACTATGGGCCAGTCAGTTTGTGCCTGTCAGATTCCAGGCAATATTTCATTTAACCTTTGTAACAAACTGAGGAGGAAAGCACTATAATTTTCTGCATGAAATCTAAACCTTAGAAAGATATGAAACTTGCCATAGGTCACACAACTTCGACATCCTTCTATAACAATTATAATACCAATTATTAATTTAAAAATTGTTCATGTTATAAATAATGCTAATTTAAAATAGTTGCCAATTATAATAGCTATCATTTATTTAATGTCTAGAATTTCAAATTTGTTATCCCTTTGACTTCTCAGAAAGATCTTAATATACATATATGTATATATATAGTATATATATTATATATGATTACCTCCATTTTATGTATAAGAAAATAGTGGCTCAGAGGGGTTAACACATTTGCCTGAGGCTATACAGTTGGTCAGTAATCAACCCTGGACTCTACCCTACATTAGTCAGACTCTAAAGCCTAAGAGCGCCCCATAGGTGCTTCTCTACACCATCATGTGTAGCTCCCCAAGAGACTTGAATCATAAATTCCCAGCTCCTATCACAGTACTTAGAAATGTAGGAAATAAAAAGTGCCTGGGAAGTAATAGATACTTAATAAATGGCCAAGATGAAAAGAAACATCATGAGAACTGTAAAAGCATTCCATAAACTTTGAAGCTTTATAAAAATACAAGTTATCAATGTATCTATATGATTAGATTGATGTGATAAACAATCATATGGTAAGCTATGAAGGTGGCCACACTGCTGAAGATCAGGTTGATTGGCCCAGGGCTATAAAACCTTGTTGTTCTGTGGATGTGTGCCTATAAAAATATTTTTCTGTATCTCTAGCACCATCTTGTGTCTCTGCATTGTAATAGCATAGTAGGCCTTCCGCATTTATAGAAAAATTATCCAAAAAAATTTTATAATTGACATTTTAGATCTTTCACTCTTTCAAGAACTGTGCAAAAAATAAAAATCTGAGAGCTGTCTTGGCTTTTGGGCTTTAATTCTGTCATTCGGGACACAGGAAAATCTACTTTTCCTCAATGAGTGATTCTACCTGATCCATAATTTCAAGGACCTAAGCAGAACCCTGCAGGGCAATGTGGGATGGCTGGGTCAGGCACAGACCGCTAAGACATGCCAGTTTCCAGGGCTAGCATCTCCCTACTTCCCACGCCACAGCTGGAATCCCATCTGCTTCACGAAACCCCTTAGCATCTCCCTCACAAACGTGACAGGCTTTGAGCATCACTCCTGCTTCATCTCAGTCCCTGGGAGTGGTGCCCAGCACTTTGTGAAGTCCCACTTTCTCCTCACCCGGAAGCATGCATCTTTTCCAGGCCATCTGACCTTCAAGTGGAGTAACTGAACAAACTACCGTAAGGACGGCTCAGGTATTGGGTCTATATCCAGCATTAACACAAGAACCACTCAGATAAAGCTACCTCGGCACTTTTTGACACCTGTAAGTAAATGGATGGAGACTTCACAGGGTCATGAGTAATGGACTGACTTCACGGCCCAGACGCTCACCTCGGCAATTTTTAGCAGTCACAGCGTCTCCGTAGAACCCGTCAGCACACCTCTCACAGTGGGCGCCATCCGTGTTCCCAATGCACCGCAGACATTCTCCAGTGACAGAGTCACAGTGCCCGGCCTCCAAGGGGTCGACATTCCCGCTGCAGTTGCAGGGAACACAGGATTCCCCGGGCACTGTTGGGTTTCCGTAGTAACCGTCTGCACATCTGCATAAAACATCAAAAGAGGGATCCAAATAAATTCCATTTCTCTTGACATTACCCCACCATCCAGGCGTTCTCTGAATGGTCAATCAATCAGACTGACTCCGGTTACATAAGATTTACTGTGAAAGGAATGCAACTCCAAGTTCAGGCATTCACAGATTTCCTTCACTCATTTATGGCTCCCAAATGAGCCATAAATCCAAGGGAATGTGCGCCTGGCCCCAGCACTCAGGGATGTCACCCTCTCCTACGGACTGTAACCAGACTCTGCACCGAGACTTACAGGTGGGAACAGACAACATTGACCTTCAGGCTCCAGCAGACAGCTATTAATCACACCACCACCCCCATGGAATTATTCAGGGTAATGGGATCTTTAAATGTGTGAACAGTAAATACTGACCCCTCAGTGGTTCCCATTGTTATTCATGAGAACTCAGATTAGCTCAAGGAGCTCAAAAAATTCCCAGGAGGTTTCAACATTAATTTTTAGTCGATAGACTGGCTTTTCTCTATGATTACATGAAATGACAATTACATACCAAAACTCTAAAACCACACTTAACTACACATTTAACAATAAACACACAGAAATTATATTCAAAGAAATTTTCAATGCAACTTTTGGAAACGGTTGAGCGATACAGTGTACCTCTCGCACCAAGTCCCTGAGTATCCCCGGGCACACTGGTCACACACCACTTCATCTCCATCGTCCAGGTGGCACGTGGGGCTGAAACTGTCAACACATTAGAAGTGAATGCAATTTCCCAGTGGGTTGTGTAGAATTTCTAAATAGTTTACGTGCTTAATTTCTACCACTCCTGTCCTTACAAACTTTAATTGAGTCCTCAAACTTTAGCCCAGATCCTGAGGCCCCTGGTCTTAGTCAAGCCTATGAGCACCAGATCCTCACACCTGCTCACCCCTCAACCCAGAGTGCACTTCTCCCCCTCCCTGCCTGGATTCACCCAGTTGAACCCCAATGCTCAGCTGTCACCTCCTCCAGGAGGCCTGCTCTGAGTTCCTCTCCTCTGGGTTCCCTGGCGTGGTCTGCCTGCCTCAGAGCCGAGTCCACACAGGCCATGAGTGAGCTGGCTTACACACTTCAGTAATCACATTTCCCAAAGGACCCCTCTGCTGATCCAGGTCCCTTCAAACTAGTCCTGAGTCTTGGGGAGGCCTGTGAAGGGGGGTTTAGGGGTGGATAAGAGTCCCTCACAATTTCATCCCAGTAGCCCTGGTTGTATCTGTTTTATACACTGGAGTTTCAAATAAAAATCCCCATGGGGAAATTTTTGGATGTGGGTGGAGGAAGTTCTAATGGGTAAACCAGTGAGGGAGGGGGGGCTTTCAGACCGCTGGCCTGCAGGAAGCACGGCCCAGCATGATGTGCAAGGCCTTGCACCTGACTGTCTCTTCCACCTGCACTCGCGCCTGTGCTCCGACCACCTGCATTCCTCATTCCTCAGACGGATCTGCTGATGCTGCCGCTGCCCGCACTCAGTTCCGCCTGGGATGCCCTTCTCTGCTGCCTTTAAATTCCTTCTCAGCCTTCTAGACTCAGATCAAGAGCTTCCTCAGAATCGTTCCTGGACAATTCCCACGGTACAATTCCTCCCCTGTGGACATGACCACACTGTAGATTCTGGGGGCGGGCAGCCACACTGAACGGTTTGATACTCAGAGTACCTACCACAATACCCAGTATATCGTAGGTGTGCAATAAATATTTTTAATAAATTAAATGAAATCTGCCCATTCTCAATGAGCTGAATATTTTGATCATTATATCAAAAACTTTTAAAGCCCAGGAACATGTTTAATTCATCTCTGTATCCCCTATACCTCCTAGCCCAGTGGTAGGCACACAGTATACACTTTATGAAAGAATTGATGACCAAGTTTAGACCAAAAGGGAAACAAAGTATGCAAATGTCCTTGCAATCACACAACTTTCTTTGCATAAATTAAGACACCAAACTTTTTTTTCAAAAAGAGAATCCATTCCTCCATTTTTAAATCCTAATTAATGACCACTGGGCAAAATCCACATTCTCATTGCACACACAGTGCTGCTCTGGAGCTATCAACGCACATCTGGATGGAAATTCTGGCCATGTCAGGTGCCAGCTTACTTGTTGGAGGCTGAGGCGAGGGGGCAGGCACAAGGCTGGCAGTCCCCAGGAGTCCCTCGGGCAGGCCGCCCGTAGAAGCCAGGCAGGCACTGCTCACAGTGGTCCCCGGTGGTGCTGTGCTCGCAATCCTAGGACACATGCAGGAAAAGACAGCTCAACTCTAGGTTCTGTAGAGGATTCTCAGATCCATCAAAAACAACTTGAAGTACAATGAAAAAAAAAAAAGATAAAATGCTAAAAACTGTTATAAGAGGAGGGGTTGCCTGCTGACAGATTAACTAATAAAAATTTTAATGGTTATAAATGGAAGCGTAAGAGCTTTCATTTCCAGCCACATCAGTGTAGCTGGTACCCTGTTGTCTTTCTGCAGGAAACAATTAGAAAACTGGGACAGATCTATAACGCAACTGTTCTCAGGCGCCGGGCAACAGAGGGTGCAGGTCTGTGATTCCGAGAGAACGAAGACATTGGGATGAGTCCTGCAACCGCCTGGAGACACTTGCCAAGCAGCACGGGGGTGGGGTAGGAGGGTCAGAGTTTAGGAAGGACGAACCTGCTAGAATTTGGGCTTCTTAGAGCAAGAGCTCCAGAAATCTACTTGGGAGACCCCTTCAAATAGCTACTGAATACTAAGCTGCTTGTTCGAAGAATACCACTCCTTCAGGTCAAAGAAAGACAGGTAACCCATAAGCTGAAAAATTCAGAACTCACAAGACATTAGAATTCTAAGCAGTCTGTGTGGGAGACCCCGGTAAACACCCAGCACACTCAGTAGAGACGCCAGACGTAAAATTAGTTCCTAGTAGTGCTAACCCTGCCACAGAGTAAAGCCTATACCAGAACTGCCCCCACGAAGTTTTTATTACAAGCCTTGAAACAATCATCTGAAATGCAGGAACTTACCTGTCTACCAAAACAAATTTCCAAGTTATTTAAAACAAAAGCAAGAGAATCTAAAAACTCAACAATATAATAACATTCACTGAACAATATTCATCACACAATCAAAAACTACTGGATATGCTCACACTGCCCAAATCTGGGAGAATTTGGAATTCATGAATTCAGACAGAAAGCAAGTGAGTAAACCAATAAACATATGGCGAGGAGAGAGGTTTTTTGCTTGTGGAAGAATGCTTCCTGCCAACCAACAAGCATGGGGGAAGGGCTGGAGGTGGAGAGCACTCCTTTTACAGACATTGTGGTGGGTACTGGTTGGGCAAGAATCCTCAATGACTGCAAAATCTAAGGGGAAGTTTGATAATAGGATACTTGCATGGTCTTAAAGTGTCTCCCTCAAACTGCTGACTAATTACAAAAGAAAAGAACAGTAAATATATAGTGGACCAACACCCAGCCTATGCGATCAGAATGAACACCACCAGTGAGGGGGTGGACATGGTGGGCTCCAACATGCCATGTTCTGAGAAGGACACACTAATGAAGTATTCTGGCTGGAAAAGTATAACATGAATCTATTCACAGGAAAATAAGAGAAGAGCCCCAAAGGAGCGACATTCTATTTTTTGGAAAATTATTATATCCTTCAAGATGCCAATGCCATTAAAGACAAAGAAATGCTGTGCAAATATTTAGGAGTAAAGGAGACTAAAGAGACATGACAATAAAATAAAATATCCAATCCTAGATGGGGTTCTGTAATGGAGGAGGAAAATGCTATCTATATATATAAAAGCCTAAGCCACTGTTCAACCATCTGACCGGTAGCTATGACATGCATTGACCACCAAGGACAGATGCTTTGACTAGCAGCTATGATGTGCACTGACCACCAGGGGGAAGACACTCAATGCAGGAGCTACTGAGCTGAGGTGACTTGGCAACTGAGGTTCTCGGGTGACGCACCCAGAACCAGAGAGGAGGGAGCCCGATTCCGAGGTGCATCAGCCAAGAACTGCCCTCTCACAATCCGAGACCCCTCCGGGGATGTCAGAGAGCCGGTTTCGGCCTGATCCCCGCAGGCCAGGCGGAGGGACACCACCAGTGCATGGATGCACTGGGCCTCTAGTAAAAGACATAATTGAGTCGGTTGACAACGTTGAAAAATAGACAGTAAATTAGAAAAATATTAGAGTATTCATGTTAATTTTACTGCAGTTAATAACTGTGCTAAGATTACATAACAGCATATACTTCTCAGGACATACATACTGAAATATTTAAAGATAAATGGACATACTATATGCAACTTATTGGCAGGTAGTTTTAAAAAATCATGATTAGATAGGTAAATAATGAGAATAATAAACAGGGAAAACTATGAATAGTAGGTGAATCTGGGTAAGTGGTGGATATTCTAAGTACTATTCTATTCCTACAATATTTGCATAAATTTGAAATAATTTCCAAATACAGTATTTTTGTAAAAATGGGGAATGAAAACTACTAAATATGAATAGAAGAAGAAAATGTAATCCCTCACCAGGAGAAAAATCTGAAAAGCAGGCAGAGAAAAAAGACACAGCCCACAGAGCGCCATACAGATAAGAACTGCACTCGACTTTCCATTTGAAACACCGCAAGCCATAAGCAAACGGAACAACTTTCAAGCACTGAAAGAAAAATGTGTGAAAACATATTTCAACAGTGAAGGTAAAAGAAAGCCTTTTTCAGATAAACAAAAGATAAGAGAATCTGTCAGCCATCAGATTGCATGGGAGAAATGCTGAAATAGTTCTTCAGGTAGCAGAAACAGATCCAGATGAAATCTGGATTTACATCAAGGAGCAAAGAGCATCACGAATGGGGGGAAAAATGAATAAATACAAAAGACAATGTCATTGAAAATATCTCTTTAAAAAGTAAAATCACCCTGAGTTAGGTGTGCAGGAGGTGCACAGGAGAAAGGAGATGGTCACACCGGCTGAGGAGGCAGTGCTGAACTCCTGGGCAGGCAGTTGTATGGCTCCAGGGAACCCTGCCCCTGCTCTGCACATTCTTTCCTCCCCGGGTGCCCCATCGGCCTCATCCCTGTGCAGGTGTCACCCGGAGCTTTCTCCTCTGACCTCTACCTACCCCTGCCTGTAATCACCCACCTGTGAGTCCTCTCCTCTCATGTCCTCTCCCCTGGTGTCCACCCTGCTCCATTTCCTTTTATAGCCCTCCTCCTAAAGCCACTAATTTTACAAACATGTTCTCCATCCAACAATTTAAATAATATGCCCAGTTTCTAACTATATCCTTTTCTATGATTCCCAAGGTTGATGAAAGTTTTCCCAGAGAGTAAATTTCATTGGGGACTATAAACATTTGTATTACATCCTTTTGTACCAGGGTTTCATGAATTTCATTTAAGGTTACCCTAGACCAGAGCTTCTAAACTTGACCGCGTACCCAAATCACCTGAGTTAATTATTGATTCTGACTCCAGAGGTCTGAGAGGGGCCTGAGATTCTGCATTTCTAAAGAGGCTCCCAGATGACACCCATGCTGCTGGTCCTCAGGTGATATTTTAGTAGCAACGTCTTAGACTCCTTTCATTCTCCCCACCCCCCTTGGTTTTGATAATCAGTAGAAATCAATTAAAAATGCAACTGGCCTTGATAAACAATTATATGCTTACACAAAATAACTAGTTTCATTAAAATACATTTGATTATGTACAATTGCAACATGCCTTTGCTCAAAGGGCCATATGGGATCTTCTTTCTCTTTGGGAAAACTGTTTTGTAACCTTCCAAGGGTTTGCTTCAGGGTTTTCTCAGGTGTGTGCCACCATCCCCCTACGTGACCATCTCTGTTGGTGGATCTGGTATGCGAAGGATGGAAGGCTCATGAAACTAGGGAAGTAAAACATCTCCTCTTGGTTGGAAAGGAAAGACATGAGGGCCCAAGATGTGCACAGCTGCATTTTATGCTCCTCTCTTTGCAAAGCAAAGAAACTGGCTTCTCTAGGACAAGAACAGGGAGAACTCAGAGAAAAGAATAAAGGCTGAGGTAAACTATGGATTTGGGATGATCATGATGTGTCAGTGTGGGTTCATTGATTGTAACAAAACGCACCCCTCTTGTGGGAGGTGCTGATTATGGGGGAGAATGTACATGTGTGAGGCAGGACATATATGGGAAATCTCTATACCTTCCTATTTTGCTGTAACCTAAAACTGCTCTTCAAGTGATGAAGTCTTAAAGAATAGGAACACTAAGGAAAAATGGAAACTTCTCTCTAATCAACCACAAATAAAAGGTTAATTTCTGAAAGCTAGAGAGCTATGTACAAGGCCAAGGGCTATACACAGCTACACAAAAGGCAGAAGTAAAGGTTTCTTTTAAAAACAGAACAGAATAAAGCCAAGTTAGATTAAACAGGGAAATGATGCTACCAAGTTTGATATTCCTTAAATATCTAAATTTTTTATTATTTTTTCTTCTTCAAACATTACTTATTTAAAAAGGAAAATAACTTTACTCTGGAAAATCCTGGCAGACACCACCTTACTCAAGTGACCTTGGCTAACAGCCCCAGGAAGAGGATAGTGACAAAACCGGGGTCACTGGGGATACACCACCTCCATATCTACCTGCCCCAAATCCATAATCTCCACCTAATCGTGAGAAAACAGCCCAGCCCAGTGGAGGGACACTCCACAGAAGGCCCAGCGTTCTTCAAAAGTGCCACCACCATAAAGACAAGGAGAGAATAGACGCTGTCACAGGTTAAAGGAGACAAGAGCACCGCATGCAGTGTGGGGTCCTGGGTTTGAAAGGAGAAAGGACTGGAATGGAAAACTGACGGAATCTGAGTGTAGTCTGCAGTTTAGTTGATGAGACTGTGCCAGTGTTAATTTCTTAGTTTTGATAGCTACTAGGTGATTCAAGATGTGAGTGTTAGGGAAAGTAGGGTGACACGTATACAGGAACTCTACTTTGGTAACCCTTTTGTAAATCTAAAATTATTTTCCAAAATTTCAAACTATAAAAATTACCATTTGTGGTGATAGAGCTTTAAGGGCAGTTGCTGTTGGCATTTCCACTTAAATGCGAGTGCACGTTTTTGTAAATACATACTAATGCAAGCATGTGCAGATATTCTTCGGCCTACCTGCAACTGGAGCCATAGGTGGCAGGGCCACGACCTGCCGACCACCCCAGATGCTGCCAAAAGCCTCTGCCAGGCTGGCCTTGCACACCCCACTGGCAAAGGGAGAGACATTTCAAAGCAACAACCTCATCCAGCTGTGGGAAGCTGCGTGCCTGAGGAAACAGCCCAGAGGACTGAGCCTGTGTGTAAGCCATCACTTCACACAGTTCTATAGACACTCTACTTAGAGAACAAAGACATGAACAAAGAACAGAATGAATGCTGTACTTACAGAATAAAGAACAATTGGGCTCTGGAGAGAAAAGGCCATCCCTGGCATCTTGCCAGGCTCCTCTCCAGGGTTCTGACCATTTTCCCTAGCCCTGTGACTCAATCAGTCTCTTTTGGAAAGAGTGTGAACATATCCCTGTAGGATGAATGGGATTCCGCTAATTAACACATGCATTCACTCCATCTGTGAGGAGTGAATCCAACAAAACTCCGGAGTGTGGCCTGGCTTCCAGGCATAAGAGCCTAAAAGAATTCCTGATTGAAGTTAAAAACCAAGTCTTGCCCTGTATCTGCCCCAAAGCTCATTCTCAAGATTAATTACATATTTGCTAAATCCTGTTTCAGCTCATATTGCATGAAAGAAGTATTTGTTTAAAGAGTTGATTCAAGCTAACAACCATAAAGCATTACATATTGTACACATGAGTGTGATTATTAGTGTCATTATCCTTCTCATGATATATAATTTTTTTAAATCCTTGCTTTTACATTTAAACATCTAATCCTTATTATTTAATCAGTGGACAAGGTTTTCTACCTTTATATGGCTTTTTATGGTTTTATAATCTTGCAAAGTAAATAATTACTTTTCATTATTCTAATAAAAACCTACAATGAAGTTATATACCCTTTTTTACTATCACCAAAGTAACATATTTTTCTAAAAAGAGGGGGAAAGCAGGAAATATTTTATGACATGAACTTAAATCTGCAAATTTCCTTTGGAGTTTCAAGGGGAGACATATTCTCCTGTGGAGGAATCATGTTTTTAAAAAATCACTTCTGCACAGCAGGTGACTATGGGGTGGGTAGGGGGGCGGGTAGAAGGTTTTGGTAAGACTCACAAAGCAAACGCCTTGAATATCACACTCAGCTGCATGGCCGTGGCATTCACAGGGCTGACAAATTCCTCCAAAGAGTATTCCATCCACGCGGTAATAGCCAGAGAGGCAGGACTGCAAAGGAAGGACAGGCTGCTGAACCACCTTCCCAATCTATTAGAAACATACACTGCTCGGTGCTCCACGGATAGAGAAACTTATTTCTTTTCTTTTTTCTTATTTTCCCCAAACAGCTTTATGAAGGCATCATTCATGTGCCTTTATAAAATGGACCCATTTTAAGAGTACAATTCAAAGACTTTCTAGTAAATGTACCAAGTTGTGCAACCATCACTGTATTCCAGATCCTTATTTCTTTTTAACAGTAGAAGCAAATGGACAAAAGCTTACTGAGTCAGCATACAGCTGTGTGGTATCCCCCCCAATATTGTTAGAAATCATGTCACAACACACAGAACTTTAGTAGTGTTTCAATTCTCCCAACTTTATTTCTTTTTCTTTTGCTTCAAATTCATTAAATGTTGCTGCCAAGGTGTTCAAATGCAGGTCCAAGTCAAACTACATCAGTTTACCTGAGCAAGCATTACCGGTCTGCTTTTGGGTCTGAGTGCCGAGTAGACAATGTGGGCATTCAAGGATGCCTCTCTCTGCCCATGAGGAGCAGAGAACCACTCCAGACACAGGAATTCACTTAGTCCTTGTGACAACTCTGAGAAATATCACCTCTGTTTTATAGACATGGAATCTGAAACACGGGGCAGCTTGATAATGTGCCCATTGTGCCAGTGGAGTGATTCAAAGCCAGGTGTGCATACCTCCAGGACCCGTGTCCACCTGCCCGGGGCTACAGCAGCCAGGAAGCACATTTACAATGTAGACTGGGGGATGATTCGTTTGGAGGCCAGCGCATGCCCAGGGGGCACGGTGGAAGGGGTACAGATTTGTTTTTTATTATAAGAATGCTTAAAGAGTGTTTTCATTCTATAGGTAATATATAAATGCATTCATCCACACTGACCGTGGGAAGTTCCCTGACACTTCTACACAGCCATGCTCGCCTTGTCTGCAGATGGGCACTGAGCAGATAGCTGCCTGGAGCTCTGTGCGGTGCCTAGACTATGACCAAAAATCCCATTTCTGATTCTTTAAGCTTCTGAGTAAGAGTTGGATTAAATAACGAGTTCTTCTGCTTAACAAAAACACTTGAAAACCTATATTGAGCTTCTTGTTCTTACTTTAGTCACCGTCCCATGCACATCAGCAAATTTCCCTCCAAAGCCCAGTGACTCAGTTTCCAGCAGCAGCTGCTCATTGCTGCCCCTGCCCGGTGTGGCTGGCCTCAATTTCTACTTCCATGATACTATCTGCCTGTGGGCTCTAGGCTGTCTTATTCCCATATGCCACATGCTATGAGGTGTTAGAGTTTTTTATCCATTAAGCATTATGCACTCAGAAATCAGAATCTATAAATATTTGCTGGGCCTAAAAATAAATGTTTCAGATCTAAATAAAAGTTCATTGGTTAAAAAAATGCCCTGAGTCCTAGCCAGTGTGGCTCAGTTGGTTGGAGCTCTGTCCCATGCACTGAAGGGTCATGGGTTCAATTCCTTGTCAGGTCACATGACTAGGATTGCAGATTCGATCTACGGTTGGGGCACGTATGGGAGGAAACCAATCGATGTTTCTCTCTCTCCCCCTTTCCTTTCCTCTCTCTCTCTCTCAAATCAATAAAAAACATATCCTCAGGTGAGGATTAAAAAAATTTTTTTTAAACCCTGAAAAATATTTAACATAGAAATATTTTGTTAAATATTCACACCATGAAAACTTGGGCCAACTTTATGAACTGCAAAGTTTATAATTAATAATGATTCATAAAAACAATTAAGGGTTAAGTATTCTCACTTCATTAAAAAAATGATTGCCAAGAAATCACAACCAATGACAAATGTTCATAATCATAATCAATCATAAACAATTAGAGACAGGATCACATGATGCTTAACAGACGGATGAAGTTCAAATCCTGATTTGACCACCTCAGTTTCTTAATCTACCTCAGTTTCTTAATCTGCAAATCAGAAAGCATAGAAGTCACCTGCCTATAAGGTTGCTGCCAGGGTTAAAAGAAGTAACATAGAAAAAGAGCTCAGGATAGTGTCCCTCCAGAGGAACCAGATTTCTTTAAACAACATGGCTTCCAATATCCCTATAGTCCCTCAAAGTCTGAAGTTTAGAAATGCTAGGTTTCTAAAGTTAAAATTAAAATGTGCATCATTCCATCCCCTTCTATGCATGCTTTCCCTTAAGAAAGAGGAAAAGGAAGAAGGCAGGACAGGAGTTACCTCGCAGGAGATCCCTGCATAGCCTGGGGGACATTCACAGTGCTCCACCTCGGTGGCCAGCGCCAGGTCTATAACGTTAGGGCTAGCTGTATCCAGAGAGACAGAATCCAACCTACATACAGACAGGGGTCGTTATCCCACTTATTTGCAAACAACACCTAACATGAAGACAGATTCTTAAAGACAATTCCAAACAAATGGTGATATGACTTTTTTTTTGTTAAGTGAAGATTTTCATAATACACTTTCTGGAGCTTTTATTATTCCTTGGAAATGCCTTCAGTATTTGGCACAAAGACGCACTGCTACTTAAAGACAGTCTATGCCACCCATTCTGAATTGAAACACTTCAGAAAAATTAATCCAGTCAATTGTCTCATCTCTAATACAGATAAATTGTCCTTACTAATAAATGTGTAATTCTGCATTTGTTTTAGCTGCATCCAATGATTATGCTTAGCCTAGCACTGCCAGAAATTTTAATCTCAAAGTAATAAAATGACTAAGGATAGGCACATTAGCTTAAATGGACTGTAAAATCTAAGACTGTTTACATCAGGAGGGTAAAAACCAGATGCAGTGTGGCCCAGACAACTGTCATCTCATCAGGCATTTCTGAGAAAACCACCCTGAAAGTTTCTCACCCTGACGTCAAGTCTATCTCCTACTAGATACATTTGTCTGACAAATATTCTGGCATCTTCAATAAAATGATAGTAATAAAAATAACTTTTTAAGACAGCTGATTCTATTAGCTGTGTCCTTAAAATAATTGAGTAAAATATATTAAACTTAAAATATATAATGATAAATAAAGACAAGAGTGAAGTACCCTCCTTTTCGATACACACCTGTAAAGAGCCATTTTTGCAGAATTGTAGTTGGCTCTGATCAAGAGATGGGTCACATTGGCCAGGACAGTCATCAGCTGATCTCGATCTATCTCCCTTTTGTTATTAAAGTCTCGGAAGTTCTCAGGCACAAGTCTAACCACGTTGAAGTACTCTTCGTGGGGCTGCAATGACAGGCCCTCAGCCTGGGTGCGTAAAGTGAGTCCATTTCCCTAACATTTTGAAACAAGAGGAAATATATTTATAATTCCATGTCATGATCAAAAAATGAAAGCAAATTTTGTAATCAGCAACATGGCTTTTCATTTGTGCGTAGGTCCTTGGGTACTGGGGTCTATAACTCTTGGTCCGGGACGATCAGTGATGTTTCATTGTAGTCCTCTCAGAGGGATTTGAATAATAAATTTAAAATCTGTGTCCTTTGCTAGGATGCAGGAAAAAAATTATGCATTTGCCCACAGTTTTCCTCAAAGCAACCAATCTGACACTCCTGACCTTTAATTGAAGAAAAAAAGTAGAAAAAGTAAATAAATATACTTCCTACTTCTCATAAAATTGCTGTTAAATTTCCTGTTAAAAATTAAAGATTGCTGTTAACAAAATGTGTGTTTGGCTCGTAGTTTCCAAGTGCTGCAGGTTGGGGATGGAGGGACAGGACATTAAAGGGAACGGAGAGGTGCAGACACTGCAGACCAGAACCCAAAATGGTTTCTGACCACCCTGGGAACCTTATGCACCAGGCCGAGCTGGGGCTTTGTGTGACGGGGAAGAAGAGGGGTGAGAAGAAAGGGACAAGGGACAGGAGGGGTGAGGACTGAGGACAAACATGACAATGCATCTCCTGTCCCCATCAGACACTGCTGCCGAATCATTCATGTGGGGGCAATGTGGCAGGAGGGGGAAGGGGCCTTAAAGGGCCTAAAAGGTAGGTCCACGTCGGAACAAAACTCATCTCCCTTTAAAATGTGACAAGGCAGTCAGCTGTAGGGATCAAGGGAGGAGTGACAGGTGCTGCCCTGAGGCAATTCCAGAAATAGGCCCAAAGACAGAATTCTCACACTCAGTCCCCTGGTACCCAGAGGAGGCAAATCACTGCTAAATGGCCATTGGCCATGAGCTCCTTGCTACTGTGGCCTCGCTCAGCCACTTTGTGTCATACAACTGTCACCCCACTAAGCTCTTCAGCTCTGTAGCCAAGCAATGGAAAAGCAATTACCTTAATGATGACATCAGCATGAGACATGAGGGCGCTGTCCACTGTCTCCACTGGAACATCATAAGACACCGTGTACTTCAGGAATCCACCGAATGCAGTCAGCTGGAATGTTTAGGTGAGAGTGAACACCAAGGGGGTGGGGGGGAGGGGTGCATGACCGTAGCCCCTCAGCTAGGGGAAGTGGTTGTTAGGAGCCATCTGGAAACAACCAGGCTTTAAGGTTGAGGGGCATGATATGTAAGGGCATTCACATTAAAGGCAGTGAAAAGAAAGCATAACACACAAATGTTTTGTTTAATGGACATTACCAAAATGCAGGACATTTTAAAATGCATCGAAGAAAAATGTACTCCTTTTTAGAGGTCCCAAGGTAAATACTATAAATGTCTGCTAATCATATAATAGATTTATCTCACTTAAATACCCTAGGGCTGTGGTCGGCAAACTGCGGCTCCCGAGCCACATGCGGCTTTTTGGCCCCTTGAGTGTGGCTCTTCCACAAAATACCATGTGCGGGCGCACATACAGTGCGATTGAAACTTCATGGCCCATGCGCAGAAGTCAGTTTTCGGCCTGGGCGAGTCTATTTTGAAGAAGTACTGTTGATATTTGGCTCTGTTGACTAATGAGTTTGCCGACCACTGCTCTAGGGGGTGGAGAGTTTGATCCACAACCATAATCTCAAAATTTTTACCTCATTGCCCTGTCTGTAGGAGAATAATAAGAAACCTGTTTGATCGGCTAAAGAAAGAACTAGAGGATTTTTCTTCCTGATCAGATATCCTTTGATGTAAAATACAGATTTTATTTCTGCCAGGTATGTTATAACAATGTAATGTTCAGAATCCAATATTTATACCATAAAATTGGAGAGGCGATCTGAAGAGACAAAGAACCAAGAAAACCCCCACAAAAATAAAAAACTATGGCCTTTGATGATATACTCATACTATAAATAGAAAACATCTTCTATGATTATAATTTGATGGGAAAATAATCATTTTCAAAAATAAACACTATATAAACATATATAAAACAATCTATAAAATAAAAATATAGTCATCAAGTTAACTAGAAATTTCCCAAGCTACATGACCTACACTGCTATGCAAACATACCATTACACTTAAACACACCAAACTCATGGGAAAGGGGAGCAGAGCACTACAGTTACTGAGAGAGATTCACGGACTATACCTTCAGATTCATCAGAATCTGCAGAACAGTGTTATAATTGGGAGGAATGGGACAAAGTCGCTGAAGGGAAAGTTTAAATCATATTAACCAACTTTCCACTTTGTAGAATCCCCTTTAGTATTTTCTTAAAATGGAAAGGATTCTACCTGCTCTCAAATGTGAGCAACCGTCACCATGATCATGAAACCAGGGGGCATAGCAATAGCCCCCATGCACAGCCTTTCCAAGCGTCTTCTACATGTCAGACTAAAATAAGCACACAACTGACTAACAAATAGGAACGTGACTGCACTTCACGGGGGCCCACAAGACCCAGGGACCCAGAGGACAGCAGGTCTGTCTCGGGAGAAGGGACAAGACTTCACACAACAGACTGTCTATGACGGGCCAGGAAGAACAAAGTCCCCATCACAAAACGTCAAACTAGGATAAAAAAGGCCCTGCGAGTCAGGTGTAGGTAAACGCTGTATAATTTTCTGTCAAACACTCAAGTGACCAATAAGTTGACTTAAAATGCCAATACAAGTTATTTCTTAATGTGCTCTGAGATCTTTGTCTAAGACGCTACCATCAGAAGTACCTTATTTCCGAGGTAGGCCTGCGGGGCTGCCCAGTAATACTTGGAAGTCAGCCGCTGCATGACCACTGTGTTGTTGATGCTGATCTGATGACGCCCGCCCAGAGCGTCCTGCTGAGATGGGATCTGACGTGGACTGATCAAGTCGGTGATCAGCCAACCGGACATATCTTTCACCTTAAAAAAAGGATCCAAGAATTTTAGAATTTGAAGTAGAAGTCGCCTTAGATTTAGCCCAGGCTAAAGCTAGTATATCCACATGAAGAGACATGAAACACTTAAGTAGGGATGCAGTTTAACACACGGGGCCCATAGAAATTCAGGACCTCTGACCCTTCTACTTGTCAAAGAGCCAGAAAACCCGAGTAGGAGCCACACGTCCTCCAAATCCAGATCAAGTGCAAGCAAATAGGTGAGCAAAGTTGTAAAGATCACATATATATTTTTTAGATTAAAAAATAGCAAAGAACTGAATAAATGCATTGAATAAATTGTCTTTGCTAACCATAACTTCTCCTTTGCTGTTGCCCCCTGCTTTTTAGCCAAATGCCAAAAAGTGTCTAAAAATAGCCTTCAGATCCCATCCTCCCAACTTGTCACCTACATAGAGATGACAAGTGATCACACATAGGAACTCACTTCCATTCTCAGGGATTGCTAAAAGTTTCTCCTCCCTCCCCGCAACTGCCCCATTCCTCACCATCCTGATGGCAGGTTAGGGAAGGAGGGAAAGGGGATTCAGTGAATAGCACCCCCACCCCCACCTGATGCTGAGTACAGGTCTCCTGAGATGGGCATGGGGAGGAGAGGTCCTTACCATGGGTAAGTTCTCCCCTGCGGCTCCTCACTAACCTCCCGCCATCACACTGTTCCCTGTTAGTCACAAGTTGGTACTCCCCCTTGAACTCATCCCTCCAGAACTCGTTCCCAAAACAACTGGGGATCCTTTGCCTGCCCTCATCAACCCTGTGCCACCTGCTGCTGTTCCTACCCTCTCCAGCTTCTTTGAGCTGGAAAATTCTGCACGTCCCCATGTTCTGTGCTTCCTGGACTGAGACCAGTGTGTGCGAGGGGGTGAGGGGAGGGAGGGGGAGATCCGATCCCACAACTGAATGCATTTCCCCACAGAAAAAAATTAAACACAATGCATTCTACAATACCTTAATACCCTATTGTTTTGAATAGGGACATGTATGTGGGGACAAACACATAACTAGGAAGACACTGTAGCAACACTTTAGTAGTAGGCTCTCTTTGATTCATGCCCATTGTCATTCCAAATGAAGGAGAGAGGCATTATAGGGAAAAATCAGCCCTGTGGCTTCATAACACAACTTCTAGAGAGCTCATTGAGGGACACTTTTTTTTATCCTCACCCGATTATATGTTTATTTGTTTCAGAGAGAGAGAGAAAGAGAGAGAGAAACATCAATTGATTCCTCCCATATGTGCCCCGACTGGGGATGGAACTCGCAACCTAGGTATGTGCTCTGACAGGGAATAGAACCGCAACCTTTTTGATGCATGGGTCGATGCTCCTACCACCTGAGCCACTGGGGCAGGGCAGGGGGGTGCACTTATTAAGTCCCACTTCCTGGACGGTGCCCGCACCTGAGTGATGGGCCAGGAAAGACTATCACAGACGTCGGAAACGCCAAAGCAGAAACACGCAGAGCAGCCCTGGGGGTTTCTTTCCTTCAAGTTATAAAATCCTGGCCTGCAGCGATCACAATTTTTCCCTTCAACATTTTCCTGCAAGTCAGAGTAAAAGATTAGCTTTTGAAACCAGTAGGTGGACAGAATAAAAATCACATTAACATAGTATTAAAAAGAGGTGTTTGATGATTCAGAAAAAAATGTAAATAAAAACATGCTTAGAGTAATGTGAAGCCTGATGATGTCAATATTTCCAGAACAGATATTTTGAAATACCTGTCATTTGATTTTGCAGTCAAGAATGAGGCTAAGGCTCTTAGAGCAAGATCATTATATAGGGTATCCCCAAAACTATATACACACACTTGGGATAATTATAAAGGCATTGTTTATTAAAGTACATTTAATTTTCAAAATTGAGATATCAGCTATTAAGGTGTGTGTACATTTTTTGGATATCCTGTATATAAGTGGCACTTTTGTATTATTATTTTTTAATCTTCTAGCTTTGCTGATCTTTCAAATATTTTAATGTTATTTGGCTATGTGACTGTTTATCTTATTATAAATGCTCAAGATGATTTCAGTCATATGACACATGTGCCTAAGACTCAGCTTACATGGAAATAAGCACATAAATTATAACTGAAAGTCCATAGAATTATAGGGGAAATGGTTATTGATATCAGTTCGCCAAATAATATGCCTCCCCAGCCACCTGCTTTTAATGAATATTCTTAGAAATTTAGTGTTTTCCTGGTTCTCCTCCAAACATAAAACTGAAAAATAATGTCATATAAGAAGTAATAGCCAAGGCCTAAGAAATGCAGTATTTGGTTTCACCGAGGAAGTAACAGAAATTTCTCTGGAATATATACGGCCATTGCCCAGAGGCACCAAAAAAGAAACCCAGGTGCCCATCTAAGTCCAAGGACACACCCTGTGGCCAACATACCGTCCCACTTCTCAGGTAGGTGTGAAGAAAGTGGGGAGTTCTGCCTAGACCTTGCTGCTTTGCTCAGGAGCTGACCACCTGAGCCAATGGAATGTTTTCCTTTTCCTAGAAACCTCAAAGAAAACTCCGGGGCAGCTTTAACTCCTCGTACCTTGCAGAGACAAGGCTCTGAGCACGGGTCCTCGTTCACGCTGCCAGCCGGACTGCAGTCACAGCGGACACAGGCTGGGTAACCCTTGTAGCCAAATTGGCAGCGATCACATTTTGCTCCTGCGTAACCTTCCTTGCATGGACATTGACCTGGCCATGTCCCTGGAAGAAAAGAGTGGCAATGACCCAACAGGCAGGGAAAAGATGTTTAAAGCAGCGTCAGCAAACCGTATCTGTACAAGGCCAGAGAGTAAATAGTTTAGGCTTTTTGGCCAGAGTCTGCTGTACTCAGCTCTGCCATTTTTGCTTGAAAGCAGCTATAGATAATTTGTACACAGATGGGCCGAGCTCTCTTCCTATAAAAGTTTATTTACAAAAACAGGCACTGTCAGATATGCTCCATGGACACAGTTTGTCAACCCCTGGTTTAAAGAAAGAAAACAGAGATGAAAGCACAGAGGCTGCTGGGAATGTAAAATGTTACAGCAGCTTTGGAAAACCATTTGGGCATTTTTAAAAATGTTAAGCACAGCCCTCCCAGCATGGCTCAGTGGTTGAGCATCGACCTATGAAACAGAAGGTCATGGTTCGATTCCCAGTCAGGACACATGCCCGGGTTGCAGGCTTGATCCCCAGTGGGGGACAGGGAAGTACAGGAGGCAGCCAATCAATGATTCTCTCTCATCATTGATGTTTTTATCTCTCTCCTTCTCCCTTCCTCTATAAAATCAATAAAAATATATATTTTTTAAATGTCAAGCATATAGTTACCATATGATCCAGCAATTCCACTCCTATGCATTTACCCAAGAAAAATAGAAACATACATCCACTGAAACACTGTGTGCCAATGTTTGAAGCAGCATTATTCATAACTGCTCTGAGACTGTTTCCTTGACTGTAAAATGGGTTAAATGATTCCTATCTGTATGGTTGAAAGTTAAAATGATATATATCTATTTTAAGTGAACCCAGTCAAGGGTAAATGTCATTATCATCGTCATCATCCTCTCATTAACAGGGCAGTTAAGAATCAATACAAATGTGTAATGGACCCTCCACATTGGCAGCAGGCCCCACAGTTGGCACTTCCTTTCCTGCAGGTCATTATCCACTTTACCTGCCAGGGACGGGGACTTTGATGGGGTCACAGAAGTCTTTGAACAGATGCAATCTATTTGGGAGACTTAGGTATTTCCATGTCCATTGGCCAGTTTTTAAAACAAAAAGAACACTGACACTTACAGAGTTCACTGGAGGATTTGCTTGCTTTGTGAGAGAGGTGTATAGCAACATTCCTGTGTCTTCCAAGAGCTAAATCAAGTGATTGCTATTTACTGTGTTCCACATATGACTTTAAATAAGCCTTATTTCTTTTTTCATCAAATGCCCAATTAACCTCTCAAATGGCATTTCATCACCTCAGCATTGCTATCTCCACACTCTATCTCAGTTCAATCATGATGCTGAATTTGCTTTATTCCTGTGGCCCTTAACCTTTAACCTTGCCTGGCCTTGTACTACAAATGGACGTGTTTGTATAGAGTTTGCCTGTGAGCAGCAACCTTGACCTTATTGTTCAAGTATGTGTTCCTAGGTCCTAGGAAACTGCCTGACACACATCAGGTACTTGATAAATATTTGGTGAACAAAAGAATCAATAGGAAATCATACCACCAAATTACTACACAACAGTAATAGTTCTTTTAGGGGAAGAAATAGAATATTGGAAACTAATTATAATTATAAGAAATATTAATCATGCTCTGTTAACCATGATGGTTCTGTTCAGATTAGAGAAAGCACATTTTAACCTCACTGAGAGTTGTACTCCCTGGGACAGGGGAGCTAACATCGGAATGCAGTCCATCCTCCTTCCAAGAACTGCCTATCAGTATGGAAAGATTTACGACCTCATGGCCGAAACAATTTAGTCCAGGAGGCACCTGCTCTTTACAACCCCCTGCCCCTATTACCTGTAATCTGGTCCCAGGGCGCCCGGAGGCACCCACACTCCTGCAACTGCAACTTCCCCCTCCCCCAAGCCCGCATGACTTGTGCCTACTTTCCCATGCCTGCAATTCCTACTTCCCCACATAATCTTTGTCCTGCTATCCAATATAAGCAGCTGGCTTATGTTGGGGTGCAGAGCAGATTTGTGTGGATGACCTGCTGCTCTCCCATAATGCAAGCATTATTGGAATAAATGCTCATATATGATTCAACACTGTCTCTGCTTAATTGGCTGAAGTAGTGACAGGCAGCCTGTACCCTTTTGTTGTCTGGTTACAGTTTCACTATGTATAAATCTTACACACACACACACACACACACACACACACACACACACAGACAAAAAAAAAAAAAGAAAGAAAGAAAAAAAGAAAGAAAAGCCCTGACTGGTTTGGCTCAGTGGATAGAGCGTCGGCCTGTGGACTGAGGGGTCCCAGGTTTGATTCCGGTCATGGGCATGTACCTTGGTTGCGGGCACATCCCCAGTAGGGGGTGTGCAGGAGGCAGCTGATCGATGTTTCTCTCTCATCGATGTTTCTAACTCTCTATCCCTCTCCCTTCCTCTCTATAAAAAATCAATAAAATATATTTTTTAAAAAAGAAAGAAAGAAAAAAGAAATCAATTACAAGCACAACTTACCTCTGTGTAAGTCGGAATGGAGATCATCCTTAATACAGACAGAACTGAGGGACCCCAAAGGGTCACAGTCACAGGGATGGCAAGGGTTGTCCTCGTACGGAGACACCTGAAAGGCAGGGGTTGTCCTGGATTATTTTACTATAAATAATAGCAATAATATCAACAATAATATCAATGACAAAGTATCAATTTTTATCCAGGATGTGACTAACACAATGATTTGTGTATCTGAGAGGTGCAGGTCTCAGGAAGATAAGGTGAACTCAAGCTAGAAAGCCCAATCAGCTTTTTGATGGTGACAGCAGCTGGATTCATTAGCAGCGTCATCCTTTCCCTTTATCACTACAACCCACTGCCCTCCCCCACCCCCTGCTGACTCTCAGAGTCATAGATAAGCATCACTTACACATGCATCAGGTCACCTATGACCAGACCACCACAGTGAGTCATGAGACAACTACATTTCAAGTCAATTGAGGATCAACTGGGCACTTCCTATGGGCAAGATACTGGTACAGCTGCTTTAGTTACTGGCTGACTCTTTGCATTGACAGTATTATAAAACTCTGAGATTACATAGCCAAGGGGTCCCCAAATTCAAGTTGAAGAACAATAAGTGGACATCCTAATCTGAGCAAATAAACAGGACTGATAGAGTAGGAAATCTGTATCTGAAAAACACTACTGAGTATAAAAGAAATATTACAAAGGAAATGAGTCTCCAAGACTGATGCTGACACTTGGGGAAGTCTCCTTTCCACTTTAAGAAGACAATGAAGCTCAGCTATGGAAAAAAAAATCTTACCTTGTGTGGTCTATAATATCCATCGATACAGGTTTCACAATTGATTCCCATGGTATTCTGCAGGCAATTTATGCAAACCCCTCCTCCTTTGTACTGTCCAGCAATATTCAAACTTTTCTTCTGATTTGCAACACTTTCATCATAGTAGCAGTCTTTCGCTTTATTGTGGCAATTACATTCTAGAAGAATATTTTAGCATTTCAATATATATATATATATATATATGTGTGTGTGTGTGTGTGTGTGTATATACATATACTATATATATATATATTCCTATATAAGTTTCTATGACTATAAATTAACTGAAAACTACAGAATAAATATTTTTGATAGCATATGGGCAATCTTATGCATGGCAATTGGAAATAGCTACCATAATTATAAATGTGCACTGTCATTTGACCCATCAATCTATCTCCTGGGATTATACCTTGCAGAAGTCCTTTCACATTTCTCAGTGACATATACAGGGGTAACCATGCACCATTGCTTATGTTAACAAAAGACTGGTAATAATCAAAATACCCATGATAGCTGTTTTAATTATGTTACACCCATATATAATGGAATTCAGTGCTGTTTTTAAAAACCGATGGAAAAAAATTAAAAATAATAAATTTTAAAAAATTAAATTAAAAAATACCTAGCATTTCATATTGCAAACATGGAAAGATTTTCATTCAAGATCTATTGTTAAGAATAAAAGCAATGCATTGAATGGCACTCATAGTATGCCAGGTTCTGTGTATAAACTGTGTGAGGTGCAAGAATATATCAATATTGCTTTGTTTGCATAAAACTTTCAGGAATAACATACCAGGAAATAATAAAAAGTAGAAAGGATGGAGATAGAAAGTAATGCTTTTACTATATACTTTTATATATTGTTAGGTGTTGGAATCTTATGACTATATTGCCTATTTAAAAATTAAATCCAAATTAATAAAAGATACGCTCATCTCTGGGAAGGAGAATCTTAGTTAAAATAACAAATCCATAAACATAAATTCAGGTTTCAATAAATAGTCTAAATTTTATAAAAGTAACCTGCAGATTTGGGAACTACTTAATTACCTAAAAGGAAATTATGTATTCAAATATTGTTAAGTCATCATAAACTTAAGCGACTTAACAATAGATATCTATACATACAATAGATATTCTATTGTATGTATATCTATTGTATGTATATTTCACATTTTGTATAACTGCATAAACTTAAGCACACTAAGAAGGGAAAAATGTTTACATTTTTCCAGTTCTCAGAGGACTTACCTTCACACATGTTACCCGAAGAAATGGTCCCAGGCCTCCAGGGCTGCTGGTGGTACCCAGGACAACACCTGCTGCAGCTCTCCCCACAGGTGTTATGCTCACATTGACACCGTAGTTTCTAGACAACAGGGGTACAAAATGGCACCTGAAAACTTACCTGTATATTTTTCTTAAGTTTATTTTAAAAGAAGTGTCTCACAGTCAAATACATAGCAAGACTTTAGAATTGAGGATAGATGACTATACCAAAGCAAACTTTATATTTAAGAGCAAAATATACATACATGAGTGGGTTATAAAAAGAAAGTGAAGAGGAATAAAGCAAAACTAAAATATGGGTTAATTAACAAAAGTTTTTCAAAAAAGAGACATTGACTTTAAGGGTTCGAAATCCCCTATTAAGAAGTTTCTTGAGGTTCATCTACATATTTTCAGCATCAATAAGAGAATAATCCTATTTAAGAGTTAAATTAATACAACGATTGGAAAAGAAATCAGAAGTGACTTCATGCAAGTTTAAAATAAGAAGAGAGATATCATCTTATTCACTGAGTAATAGCTAAAATAGATCAACTTTATCTTGATTTTAGTACCACAAAAAATGGAAGAGGGAGAATATGGAAGGAGGGGAATCCTCCCTTTAAAATAATATAAACATAATTTATAACTGCACATGCTTTTTGCTTGCCTCTTTCAGAGAGAAGAGCTTCAAATTTCATAAGGTCACTGAATGGTACAGTTTTAAATTATTAAAATGGTAAATTCTATCTTATGTATATTTTATGACAAAATAGTATTAATTAGAAATATATTCTCCAAAGAAAGCAAAATAAAATTGTTGAAAAAATTGAAATTTTATGGTGACCTAACAACAACAACAAAAAATGAAACCAATTAAATTATCAGAAAATCCTTTTATACCTTCAGCATTTGCCTTGAATAAAAAAGCACAATGCAAACATTACAGCTATAACTTCTACTTTGATGTTTAAGCAAAATGAAATACTGGAACTCACCTTTGTAGTTTCATCCCATGGGCAGCTACTGGCATGGCCATAACAAATACACATTCCTCCAACAGAAATGTCTTTTATTGAATAGTAATACTAAGGAAAAAGTTACAAACAAAAATTAAAACCCATTAATTGCACTGAAAAGTAAAAGGCAGTATTCCAACAAATATCCCAGCTGTTATTGATAATCTGAATTAGACACATGTTTTAAAATATATCATGCACAAAGAATTTTTGTGTGCATTAAAATATATAATGTTCAATTAACTCATCAACAGAAACCAAAGAAGTTTAAGAGAATTTCTCAACTTGGTTGAATCTTAAACCAAGGCAGTCATTCAAAAGTCACACTACTGCCCTAGCTGGTTTGGCTCAGTGAATAGACCCTGCAGATTGAAGGGTGTCCGGTTGGGTTCCAGTCAAGGGCCCATGCCTGGATTGCGGGGCTCAACCCCCAGCAGGGGGCGTGCAGGTAGGATTTATCCCATAAACAGTTAATTTAATACACAAAAATCAGTAGGTGTAAATCGCCTGGTTTAAAGGTGGAATTTTAACAAAGCATATATAATGATCCTCAATAAAATAAGAAAAAGGCCAACCTAGGAGAAAAGGCCAACCAAAAAGAGTATATTTCTTTTAAACCAGATAAACTTCACAATGGTCAGGAGCTCTACCATGGACTTACTCGTCTTGTCACGATAGGATCGAGGTCCTTCAGATCGCGATGGCTGAGGGTCATCAGATCTGCATTGAGGGTTCGAATGCGTTGTAAGCGCAGACGGATGTATCGTGCAGAAGTAAATTCCAACAACTTGGGGGAAAGATCATCAGCGCTGGGTCTCCCGTTGATTAGTGACGTATGAATCTAAAGGCATCAAAGTAAACAAATACCAGTTTTACTCATGCAAAAATATAGTCCTGGCTATTTAATTTCAGGCCAAACTCTTTACAGATACTATCTAAAATCAAACCAAACAGCTAGGTTTTTGCAGAAATCTAGCATTTGTTAACTACTTGTGAACATCATGGGCACAATACGTCTTCAATTAATTTGAAGTTATCTAGTCCAGGTCTCAGAGATTGCTGGAAATCTTTTATCAGGGGCACCTCCCCAGTGTGCCCAGGGTATGGTAACATGTATCAGGAGGCTATGACTTCTCTGAAACAAATTCTAGATGCCGTGCATAGACCTGGGAGGGTGAGAGAGAGTGCCAGGAAGCTTTGTAACCCTCACTCTCTTAAAGAATCTCTGCCCTGCCATGCAGGGTCTGCTGCGGGGTTCCTGCTGTGCAGGGCACTTAGGAGAGCTTTTGCAGCTTCATTTCACCAGCCAGGTGCTAGGAAACAGTGGCTGGTTTGGGTTACACTCTGACTTTAATAAAGTGTGTACAGTCCAGGTGTGCTGAGCACCAAGCTGAAATACCACACCAGCCATCTCCAATCCTCAACACCACTGAAGAAAAAGAGACCTTCATGGAGAAAATCGAGAACCGTATCTTTTAGAGGCATTTTAGCTCTCTCTTTAACATTTCACCAAACGTTCTTGCCCTGGTAATAGGGGCAAGATGCTCTGAGAAGGATCTGATGTAGTTATTAAGTCAGAGCAACAACTGAGAAATCTCCTTGAAGGAAAGGAATCAATGAGGTGAAATGTACTGCGTATGAAATTAATCATCAGTCAACACTAGTCAATGATGTTAAGTACACCTAGACAGTTCCAGTAAAGTTCTCTGTAATCTTTACTAAGAGATTCATTTTGAGTGTTTCCTGTTAGCTCTTGTGATGGCTATGTTAGCATTCGAGGTGCGGGTGGGGGAGTCCTGGTGTGGAACAGATATGACCGCAGTGGGCACAGTACCTCTCCATGCTCCAGTGGCACCAGCCTAGAATAATACGAGGTGCAGATCACTTCGTCATCCGCCCTGTATGTGGGCGGCCCCCGTCTTGGGGTTATATTGTAACGAGTCAAACACTCCGTGTCACTAACTGCATAATACTGCCAGGGACTGAACTTGGTGCCATCCAGGGATCGCTCCAAAATCCAGTTTCCGGGTCGAGGGGCATTAGCAGCTTTGATGATGACGTAGGCGACCTGAAAGACCTGGAAGAAAGACACTGAAAAATCTCAGTTAAGAAGCAGTGGCTCAAAAACCAAAGTTCTCTCGAGAGAACTGTTAAGCGATGATTGCCAACATCTCTAATGCTTAGGAGAATAGCTGCTCATGAGTTAGTATTAGTCAGAAATGTGACTTATGAATATTCTCCTGTAAACTCAAAAAATACAAATCAACTTGCATTGTGATTAATAGTGTTAATAATAATAGTGCTTGCTTTCTTGTTCCCAATATCTTTCTCCATCTGCATTCTGAAGGATAATAGTTGTATTATATTACATTAATAGTAGTGTTAAATATATTTTTCATAGTTATTTGGGGATAACACATCTGAATATGAGAAAAAAAAGTTAGCTCACTGCACATGTGTCTATTAGGATGGCTAACCTTGAAAGCACACAATACCAAATACTGGCGAGGACGTGAAGCAACAGGAACTCCCATTCATTGCTGGTGGGAATGCAAAATGGTACGGCCACTTCGGAAGACAATTTGGTAGTTTCTTACAAAGCTAAACATAGTCTTACCATACAACCCAGGAGTTTCACTCCTTGGTATTTACCCAAATGAATAAAAAACTTCCGTAAGTGAACAAATAAACCAAGTGTGACACATTCAAACAATGAAATATTCAGAGATAAAAAGAAATGAGCTCTCATACAACAAAAGGATGCAGAAGAACTTAAAATGCATATTGCTGAGTGCAAGTAGCCAATCTGAAAAGGCTACATACTGTATAATCCCAACCATATGACATTCTGGAAAAGGTAAAACTATCGAGACAATAAAAAGATCAGTGATTGCCAAGGGTTAATGGGGAAAGGGAAATGAATACAGAGAGCACAGGGCAGTGAAACAGTATGATACTGAAATGATGGACACATGTCACTATATACTTGTCAAAACCCGTAGAATGTAGAACACAAAGAGTGAACCCTCATGTAAATTCTAGATTTATTTGATAATGATGTAATAGCATGGGCTCATCAATTGGGCCAATATTCCACACTAACAGAAAATGTGAATGGGGGACAGACGGAGAGGAGTGAGGGGGAATATGGGAACCCTGTACTTCATGCTCACTTTACTGTAAACCTAAAAGTGCTATAAAAATAGTAAGGCCTATTAATTTAAAAATTAAAAATTAGAGAATAGAAGAGAAACAAACAGAGAAAGGGGGATTGAGATGACAACTAACAGCCTGAGGACACAAGCCAGACAAACCTTGGATCTGGAAGGGACCCTTACAGATACCTAGCCATAATTCACAACCAGGCCCTGTTGGAACACTTGCCGTGTCAGGAAATTCACTTGTTCCTAAGATGGTTCTTCTGTTTAATGAAAACTTCCCATTAAATGATCTGTTCTTGCATTGATTCAGGGTGCCCCGTAAATTCTATGCTCTGGGGCTACAGAAAAGATGCTGACTCCACTTCCATGCAATTGTCCTTCAAACATTTGAATATAACTATCATATATCACCTCTAGAATGCAAAGTTTTCAGCATCAACATTCGATTTCCTCATTTAATAAGGCCCCATTGCCTAGTCATAATGCTGTGGACACCATCTTATTTTGAAACATGGTTCTATATAATGAATTGAATACAAAACTTTAAATTCTCTGAATTGAGAAGCACATGGTGAAAATATTATGTCCCTTGTTTCAGTAACTCAGCCTTAGCAAGCATTCACTTTTGTGATAGTAAACTGGCATTAGTAACTCGTTTGGTTTTCACATTGATGCCCAAACTCACTGAAGGGAGAACTCCCTCATCTTTAGTCATCCCTGTCCAATGGCTTTGTCAATATTTTCATCATAAAAGTAAAACTCTATGAGCATGCGGGCCATGATTGTTCACACTGTCAAATAGGTTAAACCAGACTTTACAAAATGGAGGTGCCAAGTGGGACAGTGGGGTGACAGCTCATTTGAGAGAGACAGAAGACAAAGTCACTTACAAGTAAAATGAAACATATTTGCCTTCATTTTTTGTTTCACATTTGCAAATGGAAAGAACGAAGTGTTTACCTCATGCCTGCTAAGAGCTCTATGTGAACCATCTCACTTAGTCCCAACAACCTCATGAGTTTCCAGTGCTTCTTCCTACTTCATATATTTTGAAAATGATGTAAAGAGATGTTAAAAGACAGATTACTGAGTTGCAGGTACCAGAAAGAAATAGATGGTCACTCTCCAGTTTTAGCCACAACACATATTCCAGAGAACTGTCCCCAAATGTCCACACACACCACACCTAAGGTTACTGAAGTTTCTTTTTGTCATACCAGAAAAAAAAATGGTTCCTCCATTCACCCTTCCCTGGGGCACTGGGCACTGGCAGTTGTTCCAGCTAACGCTGCAGTTTCTGCATGGCAGCCCAGGAAACACAGCCCAGAGGGAAGAAGGGTATGCAAGAAACAACAGTGAACCCTGGCTAATGTTTATGTAGCCTGACTGTCCAGGGACAATGCTAAGTGCTTTATGAGAATCATTGGCTATTCTTGGAGCTACATTCATCTTGTAAAGGACGTATTGTTATTTCTTCCACTTTACAGATGAGGAAACCGAGGCATAGAAAGACTAAGTAATCTTCCCAGGATCTCACAGATACTAAAATGTACACCACAGATACTGAACACAGACCACTATGCCATACTTCTATGGATTGCAAAGAAAAAGGAGAATGAAATCCCACGTTGAGGCAACTGGTGAGAACTAACCGTGTTTTGATCCTACTACTTCAACCAGAAGAAAATATTTCAATACCATGTTCTCACACTTTCATCAAACCCTTGTCAGCTTTTATATGAATTGCTTAGTCATATGTATCAAAATGATACCAAACAGAAGAAAAACCATAGTGGAAAAACTTCAGGACAATCTATCAAGGAGGAATGTTTTAACTCTGATCAACTATGAACCTGGGCATTGTTCTCACAATCTCTGTTATTCTCTGAGTCCCGGATTGCAGACGAGGAAACAAGCCAAGAAAGGGACTGTGAGCTGTAAATCTGCAAAAGAGGAAAAGGATGCTATGAAGCATCTAAACACAATTTGTCATTTCTTAAGCCACATTACTGGTTGAACTGTGTTTCCCAAATTTATATGCTAAAGTGCTACATCCTGGTACTTAAGAGTGTGGCTATATCTGAAAATAGTCTTTAAGGAGGTAATTAAGGTTAAATGAGGGTGGGACCTAATCCAATATGACTAGTGTCTTTATAAGAAGAAAAGAACTGACACACAGGCCAAGGGAGACTCTGTGAGGATACAGCGAGAAGGTGGCCATCTGCATGCCAACGAGAGGCACCAGAAGAAATCAACCTACCAATATCTTGATCTTGGACTTCCAGATTCCAAAACTATGAGTAAAAAAAAATCTGCTCTTTAGACAGCCCTTGAAAGTAATAGAAGCTCTAATTCACCAATTGTGTATTGAGGAACATATATATTAAAAAGTGAGGGATGCTCTGCTAATGTATAGAATTTTAAATCGTTGCTCAAATGAAATCCATGATATTTCTGTTGCTCTTTTTTTTTTTTTTTTTTTGCATGGTTGACTAAACTGCCTTTTTCCTTGATACAAGGTTGGCTGAATACAAATTGATGACACAGGGTTTTCACTGAATTCAGAGTCACTTCAGCCTTGCCAAACCTGCAGCTGATACAGCCAATTAAAACTCCACGTTCATCACAGTTTTCCACCGAGAGGGCTTTGTTAATGATCACTGAAATGCACATGAACAGTGTCACAGAAATAAAGTAAACACAGATCAAACACCAGTTTCTACAGAGGAATCCAGAAAGGAATTTTCATGTGGGCCTCAATCTTAACTTAGATACATTAAATCCACCTCGAGCACAGAGATCTGAAAGAAGCAGATAGCCTACTTGTTCAACATCAGAGGTTAGTTGCAGATACACGTGGGGAAACAAGTCTCTCCCCTCCAGGGAGAGTCCAGCTGCTGCCTGCGGGACCTCTGCCTGTGATCTGCAGGGGGCCCGGATATGAGGACTCCCCTTTAGAAATTCTCCATACAGCACTTATCTGCCTCTGTGGCAGCAACCAAACAATGGATGGAAGAATGGTTTCTCTCTTACAGGATGAAAATGAACTTTTCTCAGACAAAAGGGATTTAGGTTAAGAGTCAAATTACATTAAAAAGAGTTAAATGTATCTGGAAAGTAATATTGCTCAATTATCCCTATGAAAGTGGTGAATTTGTGCTTTGTAAGCTTTATATTTCATGACATTATTAGAAACTATAATTCAAAATGATCATTTGACTTAATATGTGTTACTCCAAAATAAAGAAGCAATTATTTACTAGAAGGCTGATTACCAATGGCAGATATGAAGCACTTTTGGCTTTACAGAATATTGATCACTAAAATAGCTAATCAATTGATAATAATGTGAAATAGCAACAACAACTAGCCAGAATAAGAAAAATTGGGGGCTTAGAAGTTTACTTGGCATGTTGGGATATGTGCAAAACACATTTTAGGTGAATCTTTTCTGGGCAACTACCTTAAAATGTCATTTCTATTATATTTTTGTTGGCTGTTTTACTGTTATCTCCTCAGATTAGGGCCTGTATACAAAATTAACAAACAAAAGAAAATAGTTTCATGAATGAGAAGAGAATCATGGAATAATATAGATTTTATTTTTCTTTAAACTTGGTGCTGTCATTAAAAGTGCAAAATGAACATGGCAAAGTGCATTCTCTTTTTCCCTCTTTATTTTCTTCTTGCTTTTTCTTTTTTCTTTTTTTTTTGGTGGGGGGCGTGGGGGGACTGGCTACCAGTAGTGACAAATTTAGATCAAGTAGGTTTCTCTCCTTAAAAGTCTTAAGACGTGTGTCTCAGAGTATCAAGGAATGCTCACTTTGGAACCAAGCTCAGAGATGTCGAATAGACATGGAAGAAAAGCCAGAATAAGAAAAATTATCTCCAGCAAATGGAGGGCACAGAGATATGA